ACTCGCAGCTGCTGGCCATGCGAGCCACCTCCAAGCATCAGCACCTCAATGGCAACCAGGTCAATCTGTTGCGCACTCAGATCACCGCCTATCGGTTGCTGGCGCGGAACAAACCCATCTCCATGCAGATGCAGCAGGCTCTGCAGGCGGCACAGCAACAGCCGCCGCCAGGACCACCGATTGGGCCACCCGGAGCACCAGGTGGCCCGCCTCCTGGCGGTCAACATGTGGGTCAGCCGCCCGTGCAGCCCCAGCAGCAGCAGCAGCAGCAGCAACAACCGCCTCCGTCGGCAGGAACGCCGCCTCAGTGTTCCACTCCTCCTGCCAGCAATCCGTATGGCCCGCCACTTCCTGGCCAGAAAATGCAGGTAGCTGCACCACCGCCACACATGCAACAGGGTCAGCCGTTGCCACCACAACCGCCACAGGTGGGCGGACCACCGCCCATCCAGCAGCAACAGCAGCAGCAGCAACAGCAGCCTCCGCAGCAGCAGCAGCAGCAACAGTCGCAGCCACCGCCACCGGAGCAACTGCAGCACCAGTTGCCCAACGGTGGCAAACCCCTGAGCATGGGACCCGCCGTTGGGCAGCCCCCCCTCATCCCGCCCTCGTCCATGCAGCCGCAGGTGAGGGGTGCTCTGCCGGGAATGCCGCCCGGCAGTCAGGTGCCGCAACCAGGCGGAGGTGGTCCGCCGCGACAAGTGCCGCCGGCTGGGATTCCCATGCCCAAGCCCAATCGCATCACAACGGTGGCCAAGCCGGTGGGTCTGGACCCCATTACCCTGCTGCAGGAGCGGGAGAATCGGATAGCGGCCAGGATCTCGCTGCGCATGCAGGAGTTGCAACGTTTGCCGGCCACCATGTCCGAGGATCTGCGCCTGCAAGCCGCCATCGAGTTGCGGGCCCTGAGGGTCCTCAATTTCCAGCGGCAGCTGCGCATGGAGTTTGTCCAGTGCACGCGAAGGGACACCACATTGGAGACGGCACTGAACATCAAGTTCTACAAGAGGACCAAGCGACAGGGTCTGCGGGAGGCGCGTGCCACCGAAAAGCTGGAGAAGCAGCAGAAGCTGGAGGCTGAACGCAAACGCCGGCAGAAGCATCTGGAGTTCCTGGCCGCAGTGCTGCAGCACGGCAAAGATCTGCGGGAGTTCCACAGGAATAATAAGGTAAATTGAATTTGGGATAGCTATTAAGTAAATCTTTATATGTGTTTAACTAATCTATCTTCCCTAAAACTTATCAGGCTCAGCTGGCCAGGATGAACAAGGCAGTGATGAACCATCATGCGAATGCGGAGCGCGAGCAGAAGAAGGAACAGGAGCGCATCGAGAAGGAACGTATGCGACGGTTGATGGCCGAGGATGAGGAGGGCTACCGCAAGCTCATCGATCAGAAGAAGGACAAGCGATTGGCCTTCCTGCTGTCGCAGACGGATGAGTACATTAGCAACCTGACGCAGATGGTGAAGCAGCACAAGGACGACCAGATGAAGAAGAAGGAGGAGGAGGGCAAGCGGCTGTTGCTCTTCAAGAAGGAGCTGCTGATGAGCGGCGAGTACATTGGCATCGATGAGGGCAGCATTGTGGCCGACATGCGAGTCCATGTGGTGGAGCAGTGCACGGGCAAGAAGCTAACCGGCGATGATGCGCCCATGCTGAAGCACTTGCATCGCTGGCTAAACATGCATCCCGGTTGGGATTGGATCGACGACGAGGAGGATAGTTGCGGCAGCAGCGAAGATCACAAGCCCAAAGTGGAGGAGCAGCCAATGGCCACCGAGGATGTCACGGACAAGGCGGCGCCGACGGGCAGCGAGGGGCAAGAGGATCCCAAGGATCTGATCACCAAGGCCAAGGTGGAGGACGACGAGTACAGGACGGAAGAGCAGACCTACTACAGCATCGCGCACACCATTCACGAGAAGGTGGTCGAGCAGGCCAGCATCATGGTGAACGGTTCGCTCAAGGAGTACCAGATCAAGGGCCTCGAATGGTTGGTCTCCCTCTACAACAACAATCTGAACGGCATCCTGGCCGATGAGATGGGTTTGGGCAAGACGATTCAGACCATTTCCCTGGTCACATACCTCATGGATCGCAAGAAGGTGATGGGTCCCTACCTGATCATCGTCCCTCTCTCGACCCTGCCCAATTGGGTGCTGGAGTTCGAGAAGTGGGCGCCCGCCGTGGGCGTGGTCAGCTATAAGGGCAGCCCGCAGGGCAGGCGGCTGCTGCAGAATCAAATGCGAGCCACCAAGTTTAATGTGCTGCTAACCACCTATGAGTATGTGATCAAGGACAAGGCGGTGCTGGCCAAGATCCAGTGGAAGTACATGATCATCGACGAGGGTCATCGCATGAAGAACCATCATTGCAAGCTTACCCAGGTGCTGAACACCCATTACATTGCTCCCTATCGGCTGCTACTCACGGGCACACCGTTGCAAAACAAACTGCCCGAGTTGTGGGCTCTGCTCAATTTCCTGCTGCCCTCGATCTTCAAGTCGTGCTCCACGTTTGAGCAGTGGTTCAACGCTCCGTTCGCCACCACCGGCGAGAAGGTGGAACTGAACGAGGAGGAGACGATCCTCATCATTCGCCGCCTGCACAAGGTGCTGCGTCCCTTCCTTCTGCGTCGCCTCAAAAAGGAGGTGGAGCATCAGCTGCCCGACAAGGTCGAGTACATCATCAAGTGCGACATGTCCGCCCTGCAGCGCGTTCTCTACAAGCACATGCAGAGCAAGGGTGTCCTGCTCACCGACGGCTCCGAGAAGGGCAAACATGGCAAGGGTGGCGCCAAGGCGCTCATGAACACGATTGTCCAGCTGCGCAAGCTGTGCAACCATCCGTTCATGTTCCAGCACATCGAGGAGAAGTACTGTGACCACACTGGCGGCCATGGAGTGGTGTCCGGTAAGTTGGCCATCTTTTTATTGATTTGTATCAATGGTGATTATTAAATTTCCACATTTTAGGACCCGATTTGTATCGCGTGTCTGGGAAATTCGAGCTGCTCGATCGCATTCTGCCCAAGCTGAAGGCCACCAACCATCGCGTGCTGCTCTTCTGTCAGATGACCCAGTGCATGACCATCATCGAGGACTACCTGGGCTGGCGCCAGTTTGGTTACCTTCGATTGGACGGCACCACCAAGGCCGAGGATCGTGGCGAACTGTTGCGCAAGTTCAATGCCAAGGGCTCGGATGTGTTTGTCTTTCTGCTGTCCACCCGAGCCGGCGGTTTGGGTCTCAATCTGCAGACGGCCGACACTGTGGTGATCTTCGACTCCGATTGGAATCCTCACCAGGATCTGCAGGCCCAGGATCGTGCCCATCGTATCGGTCAGCGGAACGAGGTGCGTGTTCTTCGTCTGATGACGGTCAACTCTGTGGAGGAGCGCATCCTGGCCGCCGCCAGATACAAGCTAAACATGGACGAGAAGGTCATCCAGGCCGGCATGTTCGATCAGAAGTCGACGGGCAGTGAGCGCCAGCAGTTCCTCCAAACCATTTTGCATCAGGACGACAACGAAGAGGAGGAGGAAAACGAAGTGCCCGATGACGAAATGATCAACATGATGATTGCTCGCAGCGAGGAGGAGATCGAGATCTTCAAGCGTATGGACACGGAGCGCAAGAAAGAGGATGAGGAGATCCATCCGGGCAGGGAAAGGCTCATCGATGAGTCCGAGTTGCCCGACTGGTTGACCAAGGACGACGACGAAGTGGAGCGTTTCCATTATCAATACGATGAGGATACCATTCTGGGTGAGTTCTAATTACATAATTTATTTAGTTTTGTACCTTATGGTGGCATTATTCTTATGATTGTAGGTCGCGGCTCACGGCAGCGTAAGGAGGTGGACTACACGGACAGCCTGACCGAGAAGGAGTGGCTGAAGGCCATCGACGATGGCGCTGAATTCGACGAGGAGGAGGAGGAAGATGACTCCAAGCGCAAACGTCGCAAGCGCAAGAATCGCAAGGAAGAGTCCGATGACGATTCGTTGATCCTGAAGCGGCGGCGACGCCAGAACCTGGACAAGCGCTCCAAGAAGCAGATGCACAAGATCATGAGTGCGGTGATCAAGCACAACCAGGACGGTCGCACCCTGTCCGAGCCGTTCATGAAACTGCCGTCGCGCCAACGTCTGCCCGACTACTACGAGATCATCAAGCGGCCGGTGGACATTAAGAAAATTCTGCAGCGCATCGAGGATTGCAAGTATGCCGATCTCAACGAACTGGAGAAGGACTTCATGCAGCTGTGCCAGAACGCACAGATCTACAACGAAGAGGCCTCGCTGATCTACCTGGATTCGATTGCCCTGCAGAAGATATTCGTTGGGGCCAGGCAGCGGGTAACCGCAGCAGCGGACGCAGCCGCAGTGGCAGCCGGAGAGAATACGGGTGAAGCGCATGGAAATGGCGGCGGCTCTGACAACTCGGACAACGACGATGACGATGGAGGGGTGGATGATGGGTCCGATGACGAGGAGATTGCCACCACATCCGCGGCTGCTGTCAAAATGAAGCTCAAACTGAACAAATCTCTGGCCAGTGCCCCATCCACGCCGACGCAATCATCGTCCTCGAATGTGGGCAGCGGTGCGGCCACCACATCCAAAAAGCAGACGCGTCGCAAGCGCTCCCAAAAGAAGTACACCATTTCGGACGACGACGACGATGATATGGACTAGCTACCGTTGGGTGTGATCTTCAAGCGCGGATCGTCGGATGTCGAAGGCATGGGCAATTGATTTTTAGTTAGCATAAGTTTAAACCCTTTCGAGGCATTTGCTTACCTCTATCAGGCTATCACTATCACTATCACTATCCCTATCACTTTTGTCTATCCATCTTTCATAGTTGTAGGTTCCCATCCCCCTTAAGTTTCCTTTTCGATGATTTCTCCCCTCAACTCTATTGATTGTATAATTACGTGCTTTAAAATAAATGCATACTAAACAACATAATGCAATGCACAGTGGTATACTGATCATCTGGAGCCATGAGTTGGCATGTCTAGGAACCAGTGTGATTCCCACAATCCCGGTATCTGACGCAGTATGAAGAGCTGCTCTGGCTTCTGGATGGACAATGTTTGGAAGGATCGAAGCAGCAGTGTATCGGGCACTGACGTGGAATTGATCAGTCTTATCACAGTTCTAAAGGACGTAGAGCAGACCATGGGATATATGTGTACGGTTGGATCCACGGGCACATTGGTGAAGGCCACGCCCAAGCTCCTTCGGTTTAGATAGAACTCCAAGTGACCGCGAGAGCGATCCAGGCACACGCCAATCAGGCAGCCCTGGGAAAAGTTTTGGCCATAGGACGACTGTTTGGCGCAGTGCTGAATGTTTCCAGAGTACGAGATGCCCCAGGAATAGTCATCGCTGCCCAAAGCCGAAACATATTTGAATTCATGTTGAGTGAGATCAACGCTCTGCATTCCAATGCCAAACATCTAGGAGGAGAATTGGAAAACAGATTGTAGATAAGGCATAAAACCTAGGGCTGATTAAACTATATTTTTTGCACTTTATCAGAGCTACCAAGTTGATTTTCAAGACTAAAGATTAGCCGACTTACCACATCAGAGCCGACTAGAGGAGAGATAGCGAGCATCTCCCAATAGTGGACCATGCCTGGCTCCAGGGATCGGTTTCCCCTTACCATGGCAGTGCCCCGACTTCTGGTGGGATGAAAAACGATGTCTTCACCGGCGATCAATGCATCCGACTGCCCATTGCTGTCCCATAGCCAGGGATTGGCGTTTGCGATCCCAAACTTGCCGCATCTGCAGCTGGTTAAGTCGGTTATGTGACCCATGTGAGACCATATCTCTGTGGAGCTGGGGAACCTGCAGTCGCAGAACCTGGAAGACATGCCAATACCGATTTACCGGATGAGTAACAATTTAGAAGCTGGTTTTGGAAAAACTTCCGATCACAATGGAGTGCAGTTTGTGACTGAAGCGGCTGCGCTTTTGAAAAATTGTGAGATAATCGATCTGCAATCCACAAGCTAGAGTTACTTAATTTCAAGAATGTCATGTAAATTCATTGGAAAACAAAAATGTAGTGAATCCAAATATTTTGTACTTAACTTTAATATATTTCGCTTTGACTTTCATCTAAGCCGTTTTTAGTTACTTAAAAATTAAAAAAATATTGTTTGTTTTCGGACGTGATTTTAACATCTGTAAATGTAATTTAAATTTAAATCATAATTAACTTAAATAGAATTCATAGAAGTTAAATAGGTACTATTTTGGGTATGCAATTTTCCACATTAATTAAAATATTGTTATATTAAATGTTTTTGGGCTAATGCCGGCTAACTTTTTTTCTGGGGTTAATCACCGAACCCTGACCTCAAGCAGATAAGAATAAACCGCCGACTTCAAACATATTGAAATCGACGATGCCCAACACTTTAACCTGCGCGGTTTACATTCAAATTCAAATTTAAAAAATAAAAATCGACTGCATGCACGTTACTTTAAAAATAAAAAAAATAAAGACCTCTAATAAACTTATCTTCCAGTAAATTTAATTCCCATAAATTTAAGAGATATATTTAATAACATGTTAATTATTTTTATGATTTTAACCCTTATGATTTTCTCTTATTAATTAATGTTTGTAATCTTGATTTGCTTTATGATTGCTTTGATTATTTTGTGTTCTGTACTTTACTCCTTTTTTATTTTTCCTTAATATTATTATTTTTATTATTTTAATAATTATTATTTTTACTATCATTATTATTTTTATTATTAATACCTTAGATTTAAAAACATTATAATCACAAGAAAAAGCACATTTTTTTGGTTATGATTTAGTTTCTTTTAATTTCGAAGACGGCTATTTAAATAAATATATTTCAGCCGCTTAACGTAACGCAGATTAAGCGTTGTTTTAACAGCTCTACTTAAAACATTAATCATGACGATCCTTCACATAAATGCATAATTTAATATTTTGATATGGTTTCTAGGTCCTACAGCAGGTAGTGGAAGTACTCGTCGCACATCTCGTGGACGGAAGCGGTGCGCTCCTCGTCACCGCTTTCACTGCGCCGCAACGTGATCTTGTGGGCATTGGCGTACAAGTCGTCGTCGTCAACGCCTGCATCGTCCGTTTCTATGAGTGTAAAATGGTGGAAAGATTGATCGCATCGCTAGAGAAGTGATGGTGACTCAGTGATCTCACCTCGGTATTTTTGCTTGCGTCCCAGCCTCAGCTTGGAGCTGGAGAGCACTGCCTCGTCGCCCAAATCCAATTCTTCTTCGCGGGAGTTGCGCGAGTAACGAACTGGCGGCGCCAGGAACCAGTAGGATTGCAGAATGCCCTTGAGGCCCGGCATCTGACGTAATTCGGCAAGCTTCAGCGGCTGCCGGGACAGAGCTTGAAAGGATCGCAACTGCAGCGTCACCGGCTGTGACGTGCAGTTGATCAGCCTTATCACAGACTTGGCCGCCGTGGAACAGACCATGGGATATATGTTCACATCCGGATCCGTGGGCACATTGGTGTAGGCCACTCCCAGCGATCGGCGGTTCAGATAGAACTCCAGATGGCCCCGCGTCCGATCCAAGCACACTCCAATCAGGCAGCCCTGCGAGAACTTTTGGCCGTAGGGCAGCTGCTCGCCGCAGTGCTGGATACGGCCGGAGTACGAGAAGCCCCAGGACTGGGCATTGGTGCCCAGTGCCGAGACAAAGTGGAACTTGAACTGCCCTAGATTAACGCTCTCCGTTCCGATCCCGAACATCTAAGGCGGAAAAAAGGGAAGACACATTGTTTACATTGAACTTTTGCTGGCTTATCATCTAGTTGGTCTGCCCGCTGAGATTTCCTCGTCCCGCTGCGTCTGTTATCTTATCGCCCGCGTTGTAATCTGTAATCCCTAGTACAATTCAGCCAACAATTAAATTGTTTCCAATGGAATCGAGCACACCAGATGCCGTCGCAGGCAGTGTTCTATTTTCAGACGGCGACTTTGACTGACATTCATCTCGGAGAGCATTCCAACTAGTTGCCAACAGCCAAGTCGGACTGATAACTCACCACATCTGTGCCGGCCAGCGTCGTGATGACGCGCATCTCCCAGAAGTGGACCATGCCAGGTTTTAGGGCCCGTTCTCCTCGCACAATCGCCGTGCCCTGGCTGTAGGTGGGATGGAAGATGACGTCCCTGTCCGTAACAATGGCATCCGATTCGTCTGTGGCATGCCACTTCCAGGGACTCGCATTGCCGGGCTCATCCTCGCCGCAGCGGCACCGAACCAGGTCGGGTATGTGGCCCTTGTGGCTGGTCACCTCCATGGAGTTGGGAAAGGGGCAGTCGCAGAAGCCGGGGTTGCAGGCTTCTTGGTGCGGGGGCAGCAACATGTTGGCACTGGTTCTCACTGGGTTCCCACCTGGTCTCCGGTTTCCTCGATGCTGATGACTTGTGACAGTCGTGTGCAATGATCTCGAACAGTCGACGGACCACAAATGTTTCCAGTTAAACCAGCTGCAGCCTCATATATAAGCTCATGACCGCCGGAATTCGATTTGACTGAACAATAAACAAAAACGATGCGTTGTAAATAGACGCCAGCGTCGCTGCCGGCGTTGACATTAGTGTGACCAAAGCGCTGGATACTATACCAAAAAATACCACTTTCATTTAAAAGAATTACCGTTAGCTATGTGTTTTATATTTAATTAATATAATACTTAAAAAACAGTTTTTTTTGATAACCTTGAATTGAATTAACAAATAAACATCATAGTTTTGTTTACAACAATTAAAGATTTTGAATATATTAAGACATTAAAACTTAAAAAGCATGAATTGTTTTCAAAAAATTGTGATGTAAAATGGGTATAATAAATAATTTAAAAAAATATTTTAAACAGCTATCATCAACTGTTGATTACGTGGTAATACGTACTTTGTACAAAAATTATAAAAAAAATGTGTATTTTAACTTCCAAAAGAGAGTAAAGTAGGTACACAAAGTACTAGTGCAAATATACAAAGTTTGGTTTTTTTTGTTGTATTGCTCGAATTGTGTAATTATTATTTTACTGAAATAGAAATTAAAAACATTTTTTTAAATCAAATAAATAGATATTAAAATATATAGATATACAAGAGTGGACCAAAAAAAAAATACCAAATACAAATCTTTTGTGTGAATGCCACTTCTGTGTGAACGATTCGAATGCAACTCTGTGTGGTGGCCAAACCACAAGCAGCGGCTTTTCACTACAATTTAATTGAGAAATCTATAAAAATAAGTTAATTTAAGTATAAAAAAAACTCTGCAAACTTATTAACAGACATGGCGGATGCCGCAGCACGTCAGCTGCAGTACGAGTACAAGGCGGTAAGTACGGAATCCCGCCCGGAAAAAAACTTTTCCCTGTCCATGCGGCGTCTGCAAAAGATTTCGCAAACATGTAAAATGTGTTTTTTATGTTTCAGAACTCCAATCTTGTGCTGCAAGCCGATGTTCGACTAATCGAAAGACCGCGACGCGATGAGGCCACCGGCGAGGTGTGTTCCCTCGTGGGAAAACTGGACGGGACCCGCATGGGCGATCGCTACCAGCGGACGAAGCCGGAGAAAACGGAGGAGCGCAAGGTGAAGCGCCAGAAGCGAGATGAGGCCCAGTACGATTTCGAGCGGATGAAGGGTGCCACCCTGCTCTCCGAGGGCATCGACGAGATGGTGGGCATTGTCTACCGGCCCAAGACGCAGGAAACCCGCCAGACCTACGAGGTCCTGCTCAGTTTCATCCAGGAGGCTCTGGGGGATCAGCCCAGGGACATCCTGTGCGGTGCCGCCGACGAGATTTTGGCTGTGCTGAAGAACGATCGCCTGAAGGATCGGGAGCGAAAAAGAGACGTGGACAGCTTGCTGGGCGCAGTCACCGATGAGCGCTTCGCCCTGCTGGTCAATCTGGGCAAGAAGATCACAGACTTTGGCAGCGATGCGGTGAACGCATTGACTGCTGCACCCAACAACGAGGAGCAGATCGATGAAACCTACGGCATCAATGTGCAGTTTGAGGAATCCGAGGAGGAGAGCGATAACGACATGTATGGCGAGATTCGCGATGACGATGCCCAGGATGAGGGCGAAGAGGCGCGCATTGATCACACCCTGCATGCTGAGAATGTGAGTCGAATAACTAAACTTAAGTTTCCTCTTAATAATTTGTATTTCCAACCACAGCTGGCCAACGAGGAGGCAGCCAATAATGTGAAGAAGGAGCGTTCCCTGCATCCCTTGGACATAGATGCGTATTGGTTGCAGCGCTGCCTGAGCAAGTTCTACAAAGATGCCATGGTGTCGCAGAGCAAGGCGGCCGATGTGCTCAAGATCCTCAAAGATGCCGCCGACGATCGCGATTGCGAAAACCAACTGGTGCTTCTGCTGGGCTACGATTGCTTTGACTTTATCAAGCAGTTGAAACTCAACCGCCAGATGGTCCTGTACTGCACCATGCTGGCTTCGGCTCAGACGGACAGCGAGCGGCAAAGGATTCGCGAGAAGATGCGTGGAAATTCCGCCCTGGCCAAGATCCTTCGGCAATTGGACACGGGAAAGGCAGAGGATCAGGATGAGGGTGAATCCAGGGGCAGCAAGCGTGGCAAGGGCGATGCCGAGGATGGTGGAGCGGCGGCTGCAGGTCAGGTGGCCGGTGTGCGGCAGCTGCTCGAGTTGGACGAGATGGCGTTCACGCAGGGATCCCATTTCATGGCCAACAAGCGCTGCCAGCTGCCCGATGGTTCCTACAGAAAACAGCGCAAAGGCTACGAAGAGGTGCACGTGCCTGCCCTGAAACCAGTTCCCTTTGATGCCAATGAGGAACTGCAGCCGGTGGACAAGCTGCCGAAATACGTGCAACCCGTTTTTGAAGGCTTCAAGACACTTAATCGCATCCAAAGTCGCCTATACAAAGCCGCTCTGGACAGTGATGAGAATATGCTGCTGTGTGCCCCCACTGGAGCGGGTAAGACCAATGTGGCCCTGCTTACCATGATGCGGGAGATTGGTAAGCACATCAACGAAGACGGAACTATCAATGCGCAGGATTTCAAGATCATCTACGTGGCTCCCATGAAATCGCTGGTACAGGAAATGGTGGGCAACTTTGGACGACGCCTTGCCTGCTATAATCTAACCGTCTCTGAGTTGACTGGAGATCACCAGCTGACCAGGGAACAGATTGCAGCCACCCAGGTGATTGTGTGCACACCGGAAAAGTGGGATATCATCACTCGCAAGGGAGGCGAGCGTACATTTGTGAGCCTGGTGCGATTGGTTATCATCGATGAGATCCATCTGCTTCATGACGAGCGTGGTCCGGTGCTGGAGGCCCTGGTGGCTCGTACCATTAGGAACATCGAGACCACCCAGGAGGAGGTGCGACTGGTGGGCTTGTCTGCCACACTGCCAAACTACCAGGATGTGGCCACCTTCTTGCGTGTGAAGCCCGACAAGGGCCTCTTCTACTTTGACAACAGCTATCGGCCGGTGTCCCTGGAGCAGCAGTATATCGGTGTGACGGAGAAGAAGGCCCTGAAACGCTTCCAGGTGATGAACGAGATTGTTTACGAGAAGACCATGGAGCATGCTGGTCGGAATCAGGTGCTGGTCTTCGTACACTCGCGCAAGGAGACCGGAAAAACGGCCAGAGCAGTGAGGGACATGTGCCTGGAGCAAGATACCCTCGGTAGCTTCCTGAGGGAGGGTTCGGCCAGCATGGAAGTGCTGCGCACGGAAGCGGAGCAAGTGAAGAACACCGAGCTGAAGGAGCTGCTGCCCTACGGCTTCGCCATCCATCATGCTGGGATGACCCGTGTCGATCGTACCCTGGTGGAGGATCTTTTCGCGGATCGGCATATCCAGGTGCTGGTTTCCACCGCCACGCTAGCCTGGGGTGTGAATCTCCCCGCTCACACGGTAATAATCAAAGGAACGCAAGTGTACAATCCGGAAAAGGGACGCTGGGTGGAGCTGAGTGCTTTGGATGTCCTGCAGATGTTGGGTCGTGCCGGAAGACCGCAGTACGACACCAAGGGCGAGGGTATCCTCATCACTAATCACAGCGAGCTGCAGTTCTATCTCTCCCTGCTTAACCAACAGTTGCCCATTGAGTCGCAATTCATATCCAAGCTTCCGGACATGTTGAATGCGGAGATTGTGCTGGGAACCGTCCAACATCTGCAGGATGCGGTTAACTGGCTGGGATACACTTATCTGTACATCAGGATGCTGAGAAATCCCACGCTGTACGGAGTTTCTCACGATGCCATAAAAGCGGATCCGCTGTTGGAGCAGCATCGAGCGGATCTCCTGCACACTGCAGCCTGCTGTCTGGAGCGGAGTGGTCTCGTGAAGTACGATCGAAAGACGGGACACTTTCAGGTGACGGATCTGGGGCGGATTGCCTCTCACTACTACCTGACCCACGAAACCATGCTGACTTACAATCAGCTGCTGAAGCAAACTCTCAGCGAGATTGAGCTGTTCCGCGTATTTTCTTTGTCCTCCGAGTTTCGACACATTTCCGTCAGGGAAGAGGAAAAGTTGGAGCTGCAAAAGCTAATGGAACGAGTACCCATTCCAATTAAGGAGTCCATTGAGGAGCATAGTGCCAAGGTTAACGTCCTGCTGCAGGCATATATCTCTCAATTGAAACTGGAGGGCTTCGCCTTGATGTCGGACATGGTGTTCATCACCCAATCCGCTGCCCGTTTGATGCGGGCCATCTTTGAGATTGTGCTGACCCGCGGATGGGCTCAATTGGCAGACAAAACGTTGACGCTGTGCAAAATGATCGACCGCAGGATGTGGCAATCGATGACACCACTCAGGCAGTTCAAGAAGATGCCCGATGAGATTGCCAAGAAGCTGGAGAAGAAGCACTTCCCTTGGGGAAGGCTCTATGACTTGGAGCCCCATGAACTGGGTGAGCTGATAAGAGTGCCCAAGCTTGGCAAAACCATCCACAAGTTTGTGCACCAGTTTCCCAAGCTGGAGCTTTCCACGCACATTCAACCCATAACAAGGGGAACACTAAGAGTAGAGCTCACCATCACCCCAGATTTCCAATGGGACGAGAAGGTGCATGGCGCGTCCGAAGGTTTCTGGGTCTTAATTGAAGATGTGGACTCTGAACTCATTCTCCATCACGAGTTCTTCCTGCTGAAGCAAAAGTATTCCCAGGACGAGCATCAGCTGAAATTCTTTGTGCCAGTTTTTGAGCCACTGCCACCGCAGTACTTCCTCCGGATTGTCTCGGATCGGTGGATAGGAGCAGAGACCCAGTTGCCCGTCTCCTTCCGACACTTGATTCTGCCCGAGAAGAATATGCCACCTACGGAACTGCTGGATCTGCAACCGCTGCCCATCAGTGCTTTGCGGCAACCCAAGTTCGAAGCGTTTTACTCGCAACACTTCCCGCAGTTCAATCCCATCCAGACGCAGGTCTTCAACGCGGTCTACAACAGCGATGAGAACGTCTTTGTGGGTGCACCAACTGGATCCGGAAAGATGACCATTGCAGAGTTTGCCATTATGCGCTTGTTTACCACTCAAACGGATGCCCGATGTGTGTACTTGGTTTCGCAAGAAGCGCTGGCCGATCTGGTCTTTGCTGATTGGCATGGAAAGTTTGGTGCACTAGACATAAAAGTGGTTAAATTAACGGGCGAAACCGGCACCGATCTGAAGCTAATTGCCAAGGGACAGCTGGTGATCACCACTGCGGACAAGTGGGATGTGTTGTCGCGCAGATGGAAGCAGAGGAAGAACGTGCAACTGGTTAACCTGTTCATTGTGGACGAACTGCAGCTGGTGGGCGGCGAGGATGGTCCTGTGCTGGAGATTGTATGCTCTAGGATGCGCTACATTAGCTCGCAGATTGAGAAGCAGATCAGGATAGTGGCCTTGTCCGCCTCACTGACCGATGCCAGGGATGTGGCCCAGTGGCTGGGCTGTAATCCGAATGCCACCTTCAACTTCCATCCAAGTGTGCGGCCCATTCCGCTGGAGCTGCACATCCAAGGATTTAATGTCACCCACAATGCCACCAGGATAGCCACAATGTCCAAGCCGGTTTACAATGCCATTCTCAAGTACAGCGCCCACAAGCCTGTGATTGTTTTCGTCTCGTCCAGAAAGCAGGCCAGACTCACGGCTATTGATGTGCTGACCTATGCCGCCTCGGATTTGCAGCCAAATCGATTCTTCCATGCCGAGGAGGAGGACATCAAGCCATTCCTGGAGCGAATGACGGACAAGACTTTGAAGGAGACCTTGGCCCAAGGTGTGGCCTACCTCCACGAGGGACTGTCCGCCTCCGATCATCGCCTGGTCGAACAACTCTTTGACTCCGGAGCTGTGCAAGTGGCTGTTGTCTCCAAGGACCTGTGCTGGGGCATGAGCATCTCGGCTCACTTGGTGATCATCATGGACACACAGTTCTACAATGGCAAGAATCATTCGTACGAGGATTATCCCATCACCGATGTGCTGCAGATGATTGGACGAGCCAATCGGCCCAACGAGGATGCGGATGCCAAGTGCGTGCTGATGTGCCAGAGCAGCAAAAAGGACTTCTTCAAGAAGTTCATCAACGAGCCGCTGCCCATTGAAAGTCATTTGGATCATCGAATGCACGATCACTTCAACGCAGAGGTGGTGACCAAGACCATTGAGAACAAGCAGGATGCCGTGGATTATCTCACCTGGACGTTCCTGTACAGGAGATTGACCCAAAATCCCAATTACTACAATCTGCAGGGCGTCACGCATCGCCATCTGTCCGATCATCTATCGGAGTTGGTGGAAAATACGCTCAGCGATCTCGAGCAGTCAAAGTGTATCAGCGTGGAGGACGATATGGACACTCTGCCACTTAATCTGGGCATGATTGCGGCCTATTATTACATTAACTACACAACGATTGGTAAGTTGGCAAATGTTTACCATTCAATTATCTTTATTTTAGCCTAAAACGTTTGTTCTTTTTCCCCCTTAGAACTCTTCAGTTTGTCATTGAACAGCAAAACGAAAGTGCGTGGCCTGTTGGAGATCATTTCATCTGCCGCTGAGTACGAGGATGTTGTGGTCAGGCACCATGAGGAGCAGGTTCTACGCACTCTGTCGCAGCGACTACCAAACAAGCTCACCGGGCCCAATGAAACGGCTCCAAAGTAAGTTGCTCTTACTTTACTTACACCGGAAAACAACTAAACCCATCACTTTTCAGGTTCAATGATCCACACATTAAGACCAATTTGCTGCTGCAGGCTCATCTTTCGCGATTGCAATTGGGACCGGAACTGCAGGGTGACACGGAGCAGATACTTAGCAAGGCAATCCGACTCATCCAAGCCTGTGTGGATGTGCTGAGTTCGAATGGCTGGCTTTCGCCGGCTGTGGCTGCCATGGAGCTCGCGCAGATGGTCACACAGGCCATGTGGACCAAGGACTCGTATTTGAAGCAGTTGCCGCACTTCAGTCCCGAGATTGTCAAGCGATGCACAGAAAAGGTGAGAAAAACATATGCAAACATCTTAATTTTACTTATTTGCTTTGTGTGTATTTTTTAGAAAATCGAAACCGTTTTCGACATCATGGAACTGGAGGATGAGGACCGCACCCGCCTGCTGCAGCTCTCCGATTTGCAAATGGCCGATGTGGCCCGTTTCTGTAACCGGTATCCCAACATTGAGCTCAACTACGAGGTGGTGGACAAGGATCGCATCAACTCAGGCTCAACCGTCAATGTGGTGGTTCAATTGGAGCGTGAGGATGAAGTGACCGGCCCAGTCATCGCACCCTTCTTCCCGCAGAAACGCGAAGAGGGATGGTGGGTGGTCATCGGTGATCCCAAGACCAACTCCCTGCTCTCCATCAAACGGCTCACGCTGCAGCAGAAGGCTAAAGTCAAGCTGGACTTTGTGGCCCCCAGTCCGGGCAAACACGAGTACAAGTTGTACTACATGAGCGATTCCTACTTGGGTTGCGATCAGGAGTACAAGTTTTCCATCGAAGTGGGTGACTTCCAGTCGGAAAGCGAGAGCGAGTCGGATTAGTTATGTTAAGGAACATTAGTTGGGCATAGTCGCGCAAATAAAGATCAACCATTTTACAATTTAATCCCATTAATTGTAGCAATAATTTGAAAACGATTCTTAATTTTTCTGTTAGCAAAAACTAATTTTAAAAGCAACATTGGGGAAACTAAAATTTAAATCAGTGCTGTTTTATACTGTTTGTGTAATGCTCTGCCGGTGCTTTGCTGCTGCTCAGCCGCCAAAAATTATGGAATATGAAGCTAGTTTTCTTACAATTTGGTTATTAAAAAGCTGAATTACAATTCAGGGACACTATAAGTCTAATATGAAAACCGGTAAGACCCAAGTCCTTAGGTGACTTGTAAGCTTTAAAACAAAAATATATTTGTAATTATTGTTAAAAACCCCAAGAAATAAAATCAATCAAATTTGCAATGTCGCTAATGGCAAGACTTTTCCTAGTCACAAAGAAAAGTAAATATTTCCCGCTTATCAGGCATATGAAACCCAAAAACCAAATTTTTTTTTTACAAATTGCCTTTTTTTGAGAAACAAAATCATTTTTAAGGTATTATCCGCTAAAGAATTCGTTGTTATTGGTTTTCTACTCAAAGTGTTAGGTGTCACAACAGAAGGGTATCCAAAAACGCAAATTCTTCAGCAGAGAAAGACCGAATATAAACAGACATTTTTTAGAGAAGAATGATCAAGCAATATTCAGAATATGACTGATTTATACTTTAAAGGCCGAAAGTCACACTTATAGACTTTACATAAAAATAAAAAGGTCTTCGATAACTTTAAATTTTAAAGAAATGAAATACAAGTCTCAAATTAACTGCTATTTTGTGCCTTTAATATTAAAATGTTTTTGCACAAAACAATGTAAGGCATCAAAATGCTTTTAATTACTTATTAACCGAATTCTACACTTGATTTTGGAACGATGCCCATCTTAAGGATTTGTCTAAAAAATACTTTAGTTTGTATTATTCAATATTCAAGGGCTTAAGTATACTCACCATTAACTGCCTATCAATTATTCCAATTAATGTTCGACTCAATCATAAATTTTTATTTGCATATTTTAGACATTTGCACATAGGATTGCTGACAATGGATTAACTTGGAGGTATTTTCCCTGCAAAGTGCACCATGCTCTTAGCGGCTCACGGAAACCGCCGATCCGTGGCTACTGCCCCGGTTGGCTCCTCCGTTGGCGAAGGAGTTGCCGGAGCTGAAGTTGATCGTCTGTCCATTGGGCAGATGATACACCTGACTCAACGAGGCACCTGCCGCATTATTGGACCCAAAGGGACCGAAGTTCTGGGACTGAGTAGCCGTGCTGGCGGAGGAGGCACCGAAAGATCCATTTGCACTCTGCGATTGGAAGCCCTGCGCCTGTCCAATGGCCGCCGAGGAGCCGGAGTTCAGTCCATTGTTGTAGTTATTGTGGGCAGCCCCATTTGAGGCGGCCTGCTCCTGGTTGTAGCCATTTGGTCCGAGTGGTCCCAATGGATTCAACTCAACATTGGCGTTGGCATTGCCGCCATCCGGTCCGGCTCCAACATCCACGCCCGCCTTGGTTCCTCCAGCTCCGGCCGATGTGCCTGCCTGCACATTTATACCAAATCCTTGATTACCACCGAATCCCTGATTGCCGCCAAATCCCTGATTACCACCGAAACCGTTGCCGAATCCAGGATTTCCGGCATACCGATCACCGAATCCTCGCTGACGCTGACGCTTCACCCGCTTGTGGGTGACTCCTGATCCTTGATTCAAAACGGAACGAACGCGTCGCACTTGAGGGTTCGATTTCGGTTTGATGTACAAGGCAGATTCCACCACTACTTCCTCAATAGTGGCGCCTTTGGAGGCTGTAAGAAACGATTAAATTATAAATATAGATATCAGACTTTAGTAAATTATTGCCTTTTTTACTTAAAGTAGCTAAGAATACTTATTTTTTTAAATCTATGTTTGAATTTGTTATTTAACATTTTAAAACTGAATGATTTTAATGAAACTTGTTAAAAAACTCGTTTGTACATTAGGTCGGTTTTGTTATAAGAAATTTTAATCTCAGATAAAAACAAAAAAGAAATTCAATTTATTGATCCCATCACGATTGTTAAAGTGACAAGGTTGAAAATAAAATATTTGATCAAAGGCAACAGTACGTATGAGTGATAAAATTTAAAGTCAATGCATTTTTTCTATTTTTTCTTTTTTGCAAGAGTAGAATCTTAGATTTTTTCAAACAAAAATATGCCTATAAAAACAATGATTAAAACAGGACTTAAACAAAAATATTAATTCCACAAAAAAAAGAGGTTTAAGAAAGTTTTTGTTTAACTTTAAACAAACAAAAATCAAAGATAGGTTATTTTTGTAATCTTCAAATTCTGTATACGCTAGGCTATATTTATTCTGTGTACAGTGTTAAACGCAATTACAAAATTTAAAACACTTAAACAACAGATTTTGAGACTTCTGAAGCATTATTAAATTTCTTATTCCATGATGCCAAGTTTGGAATTCGTCTGAGCAAATATATATAGTTAATTAATTAGTTAAGCCTCCAGACTTACGCAAATCCTCCTCTCCGGTCTGGACCTGCTTCTCGTTGCGCTGCCTCAGTTGGGGGTATGCCGACGCAACTCCCAGGCAGATGAGGGCCACAATGAGCACCGGAACTGACAGATTCATTTCGGATTCTTCGATGGGTTTTCTTTCGGGGATCGCAGCTGGACACGTCCGCTAGCCAGGCCGCTTCGCGATCAACTGTGGGATGCCGATCGACATCAACTCTCACTTTTCAATCGCCATGGGGGCGTCCCTCTTTTGTCGATCGGAGGGCGCTAATTGCTTCTATCAATATTCAAGATGTTTTGGCAAATTCAACAAAAAAAAAAAAAATAAAATAAACGAGACAAAAACTGGCTTGTATAATCAAACGATTTTTGGCACATGTAACCAGATGCAAACATTTAATAATGTTGTATTATGTAGGAAAAAAACAACAGAACGGGTGTACAAAAGCCGAAACCGGTTAGCATCCAAAACTCGTGGAGGAACTAGTTTGGTTTTCTTTTGTTTATTTTTTTTTTTTTTAGCTCGGCGGTTGCTTCTTGTTTTTGTTGCTGTTCGATTTCCTTTTCGGGAAACAGATGTTGCCCAGAACTTTTACGGGTCGCAAGAGCGGAGGCGGAGTGATCTCCCCGATGTGTTGGTGCCCACGAGTGGTGGGCATCCCAGTGAACTTCTGTCTGGGATTTTCGAAATGCAACCGCTTGTCTGCCCTTTCAGCTGATAAGAAACCAGACCCATTCGTTTAACTTGAGTAATCATTTTTATTACTATTCCTAACCACGAAGTTGAGACAAACAATATAGAATTTTAAGAAAAAGGTGAAGTGTGATTTGAGAATGCGTATTCAATTTGGCTAGCAGTCAGAAATAGTCTTCTTTTTAGAAAAATGAATAAATTTATTTTTAAAACTACACATACCAACATTACAATTTTTTTATTTTTAGGAAGTAAACAAAAAATTTCTTTGCCTTGTGGTTCAAAACAAAGTCTAAAATTATTTAGCCCACAATTTTTTTTTGTTTTATCAAGGCAAAGATTTTACGACAAATTGAGAAATAAAAAAATCTACGTAAAAATCAAATATGCAGCACGTAATGTAACAAATATTAAGCATATCCGTAATTCAAGTACATTTGTTATTATTTATTTTTTACATGTATTCTAAAAGTATTGACCATTTTGTCAGAACTTAAAGTAAGGTGTGCAATAAGAATTGAAACACGGATTAAGACACTCACAGCTACCTTTCATAAAAATTAGTTGAAGTGAACGATAACAAAGGGTTAAGTGTTGAGATCGCTTAATCAAACATTTATTATTGGGTATGCGATTTTTAATGGAATATGCGAAATTGTTTACGAACTAAATGGAAAAAAAAACAATGATCCAAAGTAAATGTATAAATTTTTGTACAACTTGAAAGTCGTCATGAGGCGCTTGAATGGTACGCTTTTCGAGCTTTTCCTTACACTATTGCTTCGATTGCTTACACTTAACTTAAGGAATCAACAAAACTGAGCACTGTTCGATATAGTTAGCAGTTAACCTAGGATAAGTGGTTAAGCAGCGACTTGGGCCTACTCGATTCCATGGGCGAAGATCATGACCAGACCGGGATCGATCATGACGTCCTCAGTCATATGGAGGTTGTCGCAGCTCAGGACGAGCACAGCTTGCTTGCCTGTGGATAAGTACATTAATATGTTTAGCTTGATATCAGAAATAAAGCTTCTTACACAGGAACAAAAATCAAATCTTTTGAAATTTCCACAAACCCATTTTTACTTTTCCGTGCTAATTGGGTGCGCCTGACTAAAAAGCCCAAACAAACCTATGTTCCATTTTATACAGGTAGTTTAGAATACGATAATGAAATAATCAAATATTTCGCTAAACCGCGGAACCTGCAGCTGACGGGACATAAGTTTGTAAGAAACTTCTACCAAGGAGCACCTAATTATAATGGAAAAGTAGAAATGGTTTTGGCTGTGTACCTGTGTTACCTGGAATGCGTCGACACACATAGTTGTCGTAGATTCTACGGTTGGTTTGTCGCGTTTCCAGGGAACTGAGTCCTCGTGGCCAACGTCGCTCGTGGCAGAATTCCATGAGACTATCCAGGATGTGTGGCGGACAGCCCGACTCGGACAAAGCGCGCTTGATCATCAGCTGTAAGATTTGTAAAAAGTTAAGCTACACAATGTCCCAAGTATACAAGTATATATATATTTTCTATTCTCCACCTGCAGTGCATCGTCGGGCGTAGAGATCATTCCCCCCAGCGTGTGACCCTGGCTCGGGGCAGCGTGCTGCTCCAGCGGATCACCTCGTCGCGCTCCATCTGGTCGGCTATGGCTCGCATCGCAGGATTGGAGACGCGCATGGCACGCATAAAGTCCTTGAACAGCTGCAGTTCCCGTTTCAGTTCGTTGATGGTCAGCTGCTGGTCGGTGAGCTCCGACTTGAGCTCGCCCATCTTCTCGGTCTGCTTGACGATCAGCGTGCGCAGCTCCCGGACGCAGTTGTGATCCTTTAGCTCATCCTTGGGTATGTCGAAGCCGCAGCCTTTCTCGCAGGGAAACGGACGCTTTGGGTTGTGGATGCACTCCTCCAGATGGGAATTGTAGGCATCTAGTTTGAGGACGGCCGTGCAGCCGTAGGGGGCATTGTCACAGGTAATTGACAGTCTGGTTGGCAAGAATTAAATGTTAGTTTTGGCACAGCACAGAAGGAGGAGGAGGAGGTGGGTGTTCCTCACCTGGACAGTAAATTGCGCAATATGCGAGGAACTGCACGCAGGTTGGCGGTGGTCAGGGCGTTGCGATCCACCGGACAGGTGGGCTGGCGGGTTAGCCACTCATTAATGCACCCGCGACAGAAGGCGTGTTCGCACATCACGGCCTGAATCGGTAAATATATTATAATACATATGGTGCATTTGGGTATATGTGTACTTTGCACGAACTGCAAACAAAACAAACCTGAAGCGGATCCTCCAGCACGCCGGAGCAAATCGGGCAGGTGAGTTCTTCATCTACCTCCCCCTGAAAGCGATTCACATCGTAGCCCATCTTAGGTCCTCAGCTCGCTGGCCATCTGCATAAAATTCCGTTTATTAATAAGTCTTTTCTGCGGATTGCAAAATCTTTCGCTGCGCTTGTTTCGTTTCAGTGTTGTGCGGTGTATAAATAAAAGCAGTGTTGGAGAATAGTGTTGGCACGTCAGCATTTTTCCGTCAAAATTGGCTATTTTTTATATATTTATTAGCTTAAATTATATATTTAAGAAAGCTTAATTATTTTAAGGCACCTTTAAAGATCTGTCAGCATATACACTGATAAAAAAATGGAATAGTATAAATAAATATCTGATTATTGAATTCAAATTTTCATAATTCATATGTATATTAAATATTAAATCATAATTTAAAATTCAATGCGTATTAAATTGCACGATTTAATATTAAATACTTTAATTAATGATGAAAATATTATATTAAAAGTAATTCCTATTTGATATCAACACATTTTAATTATACTTAATAAGGTTTAAATGTAAATTCAAATTTCAGATATTAAAATCAATTTAAAAAAATCAAATGCAAAAAATTCTAAGTCATTTAATTTTAATATTAAAAATAACTAAAAGCCGAAATGGTCTAAAATTGAAGACAAATATTTAAATTGGGTACAAAATATTTGTATTTACAAAGTTTTTTACCAGTGTAGGTATGTACCTTTGTTTTGTTATGTTTAAAATGATTGCTTTTTTATTTTGTTAAACGTGTTATCCCCAGTTTTTTTTTCAAATTTTTAATATATAAATGGTTTTTACTCAATATAAAAGGACTTTCGTACCATTTGCCTGAAAGTATTTAAAAAATATTTGGCGGGCTTATAAACTTTTCAAATAATTATGTACACGTATAAAATAAGTTTTCCAAAAACATCACATCCTAGCACATTTGAGTTAATAGACCACGTCAATTTAAATCAGTTTCTATGGCGATAAAACATCAGAAATATTTTTATAAATAAAACATTTTTCTTATAAGTAAAAATATCAATGTATTTAACAGTCTGAACTGTTCGCATGCCACAATTTGGTATTCAATTATGAAATTCGTCGAAAGGAGTCCAAAGGCTATAGACACCCGTTCATAAACTAACACAACACAGGTTAACGAAAACATTTAACGTGCACTTATCTAGATAATACCCCATGTGCCCCGCACCCTAGAGACTATATCTCATTCCGATCCTTCCAGCCGTACTTCTGGCGCTGCTGCTTCTCCCTGCTGCTGCCCTTGTTGCTGTTTCCATTGTAGGAGGAGGTCTTTGGGGGAACACAGTAGCAGGATCTCTGCTGGGAGTCCAGATAGGACCTACAGCCCAGAGTTAGGGTGCCGGTAAATAGCATCTTGGCAGCCGCCTTGCATCCCTTCATCATAAGATCGCTGGCAATGGACTTCTCGTAGCTATCACAGTATTTGTAGAGGCACCTCTTGAAATCCAGGTCGCACAGCTCCTTATCGCTGTTGCAGGTGTCGTAGCAAATGTCATGATCATTGCAGCATGTTTCCATTTCCTTGGCGGGCAGGTAATCCGTGCTGATCCTCAAGCCCAGCGAACCACATCCGTCGGCCGTGGGGGTATAGAACTTATTCTGCACCGCCCGAGGCGCTGTAAAATCGATCATACATGGAGTATATGTATATATAGACGCCGGGAAATTTACATAATTCGATTTGCGTCACATACCTGGTCCTCCGATATCCGGCGCGGGGCATTGGTATACGCAATTCTCGTCCACTGCCGCATCGAATACCTCGTGAACCGTGCGAAATTTGCGCACCAGAACTATTAGGTTCTTGAACACGTCACCAAATATTGCCTCCGCCGCTATAATGGCATCCCTTAGCTAAAATCCGGGGAGAGAGATACAGGAATACAGATATCATCTATTACAGATTCCCAAAGATGATGTGTCTTACATGGACTATTGTGCTGGATCCGTAGCCGGAATAGGCGTATGTGAGGAAAGTTAGTAGGTATATGGCCACCTTCATCCAGGAGAACTGCATTTTTGGCTTATCTTATTTGTTTTCCGTTTGAAAAAGGTGAGATATTTGTTGTGAGCGCATAATAATAAACTATCCTAGAGATTCTTTTTGCCGTGTGACCAGGGTCAAACTGTTGAAATATACTAACCGGTTCAGGAAAATATACCAACTTAAATACTTGGTAAATTTAAAAACATAACGGAAATATACCACTAAAATAACCCTTTGAAAACAAGAAGTCATCTTTACTTATTGCTTAATTTGTTATATAATGTTCAACCACTATTGTTTTAGGTACAATATTTCATTCATATTTTGTTAAAAAAAGGTAAAAGTAATAATTGTATATTTTCATACAGTGGTGCCATCTGCTACACGAGTAAATACCAAACATCTGGCAACTCCTCGCACTAAGTAATCGAACTATCGGGAGGGAAAATTCAAAAAGTGGGCTTAGGAAATAATATTTTATTCTAATGGAAGTTCAATATGTTTTGGACCGTATTTTATTAGCTTACAGGATCGCCACAAGCTTTTTGGCAAAATTTGCGATCAATTTTTACTATGCCTGCTGGAAGCAGAGTAAGTTTGCATTGAAAAATTATATAAAAAGGCCAGAGATTTAAGTCATTTTGCTTGACAGGCTGGCGTAACCATGACAAGGCTTCCGGTCTGCGGACAGGATTTGCCCCGCCCTCTTCGCCCACTCAAGGAGGTGAGTGCACAACGTCCTTGCCCTTGACAAGTGGACTGCAGCAGCCGCAGTGGCAAAAGAAACAACAACAACAACAACACACCAAATTAAAACCCTAACTTGCTGACATCTCGTGCCTGCCTTCGCTTAATTATAACATCAAATTGAAATGCACACGGCAATTGTGTGCGTCACCTGAAATGTGACTGCGGCACGCAGGCGTCACTCGTAGTCGCATTCGCATTCGTATACGTATTCGTATTCGTTTGCACCTGACCTTGTTGGCCTTTATTACAACGGCCAACAAAATCAACATACATAAACATGCAAACGCAACACCCGAAAAGCGTTAAAGAGGCGCTCTCACTGTTTGCTTACACTGGCAGAGCCAGAGGGCTCGTAAATACACAAAACATATTTCCCAGATTTTTCCAGTACCGCTGCTGCCGCAATGTCTACTGAAAACAAACAAAACACTGAGGGAAAACACCACCCTCTATTAAATCAGGCATAAACTCTTGATTGGCTCTTCATTCAAAATGGTTAACAATAAACCCATTCACACATTTCTAAAAACACTTAAAAATCATTATTTACTAAGATCTTTAGAAAATATTTAAAAGTTTTTTTATAAAGTTTAGTTTTAGCTTAGCTTTATTTTAACGATTAAAAATTTGTTTTTGCAGCGCTGCTTATGAAGTGCCTACAAAAAACAAACAAAAAATTAAAGTGCTCCCCCTGTAGAATCGGTTATAAAATGTTTGATTTAAGATGATTTCATTCAGACATTGAACTTTTCTATTATAAGAAATATAAAAAAAATTCTTATTTGTGTGAACCATATTTAAATAAATATTTCTTCGAATTTCAATGCAGGGAAATTGACTGCTAAAATCCCAATACTAAGGGAAATTCCCCTTTTAAAGGTTCCAGTTTTTGTACCGAAGAAATGTCTGCTGATAACAAGCAAATCTCATGGGGAAAATATGTTACTTAAATTCAGGTATAAGCATCTTGATTTGGTTTTAGGTCAATATTTCTAAATAATATGGGCTTAGTCATATATTTCTAATAATACTGTATATACAAACAGAATTTTTGACGTTAAAGGTGAAGCAAAAGAGGCAAGCGTTATAAATCCAAGTTAATATAATTAAAAGTCTTAATCCAATTTAAAAGACGATTATAAAGAATTGAGTTATTTTACCCTAGTAAAGCGTATTTATCTTTCTCAGTTATTTTTTCAGCGGCTCAGCGGCTTTAGTGGTTTAGTGCGCTTTAAATTAATAATATAAACCATCGCTGATAACAGACCACTTTTTCTGATCCTGTTTTAATTTTCAGAACTCGTAAAATTAATCACTGAGATAAAGTTATTACCTGGTTTTTGTAGAATACTGGAGCTTACAATTTTCTTTTATAGTTTTAAAGTAAAAAAAATATTATAGTTATAAAATTTTAGAAACTATAATTAAAGTTTATGATTGACAATAGAAAAACGTGATTTTGGTTTATGTGTATTACGGATAGATAAATTTGGTTTGGGGATGTTGTCAATTAGCCGGGTACACTATTCCGGCCGCCTTATCGCCGTCGTGTCCGCCATGTCCTGCGGCGATGATCCTGTTGCCGCCAAACCGTTTAGGCCCTCAAATGGAACAACACTCGAGACACTTGGCCAAAACCAAACAGTCGCACACATGGAGATGGAGAGCAAACACAAACACAAACACATCCGCCTCCGTCCATCTCCGAGCATCATTATTATCATCATCGTCGGCGTCATCATCATCGGCCGCTGCCCAGCCCCCTCCTGCCCGTTCCGCCCCCTTTTCCGAACGACCACGACGGCGACGCCGACGGCGACGTCGAGAGCTGTGGCAAGCGATTCGCAGATTTTACGTTTCAGTTTCGTGCAAAACGTGGAAGCGGCTGGTCAACCCAAGAAAAAAACACCACAGAATCAAGCTAAAGAAAATTGGAAAACTCGGCATTGGTCTAAAGGTTTCGCAGAAAAAAAAACAATTCAAATTGCCCGAACGTTAGTTTTGATTAATAACGTTTAGCAGCAGTAGTTTGCATAGTGCTGGCTAAACGCAGAGACTAACGAAAAACAAAGAAAAACTGCAGGCTGCGGCTGCCAAACCGGAAATTCTAGATCTCTTGGATCTCACGATCCCAGCGCATAAACAAAACAAACAAAACAAAGCGGCACTTTTTGCAACAAAAAACGATCAAAAAAAAAACCAAACGTAAGAAAAACCCACGAAAAAAGTGACACAAATAAAGCAAAGCGCGATCGGTGTGTCCAGTCGATCTGGTACACCTATAATACCACCATATACCTCTACCTTTACCTATACCTATAGGCCCCCTGAGAAACGCTGAGTGTTGAGTTTATTTCTGTTTCTGTTTCTGTGTCGGCTTCAGCTTTTTTTTTGTTATTATTGCTGGCCAAAAACGAAGGAGAACGAAAAATCGTCGGCAAATCGTGGAAAATCGTGCGCTCTTAAAGTAACATATTTATTTTTAACAATTTCGCAAGCGTTCAAATTTTGCTCCAGCAAAAAATCAGAACTCAGAACTCAGAATTCAGAAACCAGACAATCGCAAAGCAGAACAAAAACAATAAATAGATCGGCGGCGCGATCGTTAAGAAAAACCAAAACAGCGGCGGCAACGGCCGGCGACTTTGGCTCTTAAAATTAAGTTTGTTGGTGAGTAATCGTTAATAGTGTAAAAAGCAGCAGCCAGTAGCCATCAGCCAGCAACAAATCATAAATGCTTGGCTTTCCAAAATAGAAAAAAAAAGTGGAGATAAATTCGTTTTCATGATTAAGCTTTGAGTACTATAATTAGGTGAGCCGATTTAATTAGTGCAATTAGCTAATTACACTTCACATGGAAAGGTAAATCTTAATATTTGGAGTGGAAAAAATATAAAAAAAGTGTCGGTCTTTCGCTTTGTCTCACAGAGAGTTCCGCGATCATGCTAATGTAGTAATTAACTTTGCTAGATTCGGAAGTTTGTTTATAAATGATTCACTTATAATAGTACAAACTATTTAATAGGTTCACGAAGGGCTAAGAAATCACACATTAGTATATTGTTCACTTTTATTTTGATTTTGAAATATTTTTTGAAATGTTTAATAATATTCAAACTTCTTAAAAATATTTCAAATTCTAATGAAATTGAAAAAATATTAGTTTTGTAGATAAGTTTAATTTTATACAATAAACAAATTTATATAATTTTTTCAGTCTATAAAAAAAAGAATAAAAAACTAATAATGAAAAATAATATTTTTTTTGGTTGAATATGTATTCATTTAATAAATCAGTAAATTCCCTGAAGTCTCAATGAAAATTATATATTTATTACATCTGTTTTTTTATTTTAATACTCCAAAATATTTATTATGCATATCTAAAATTTATCAGTACGCTAAAAAAGAATTATTCCCAAGACGATATTTTTTAAAGGAATGTTTTCATAACTCTTTCCTAGTCTTTTTGTTTCTTTTCTCGCACTCCCGAATTTGAACAAACATTTCCATGTAGTTGACCCCGTTTAAATAGAATTTCTTCATGTATCGCCTCAATAACTCTATACAAACTGAGCCAAGGACTTTCAAAATCTATTCCCCAACTTCCCCATACGCATAAAAGTTTTATGCATTTCCATAGCCAAATACAGTGAGTGAGGAACTGGCACAAGGACAACGGAAATACTTGCTCTATAAAAACAAATCCAAGACCATAAATCTGTTTGGCCCTTAGGCGAGATGGAGAAAACCCTCCCAGAAAAACGCTCGTACTAAAGCCAAAGAAGAAACAAAGCGTGTCGCTGTATTTATGTTATGATTACATTTAGCCGGCATTATTTTTGACGATTATTACCATTTGGGGTTTATTACCCAAAAAGCCGAGAGCGTGGGGTGATAATCTTTATTTTGTCAACCGAAAACGGGCAATGAATTTTCGTTTTTGTAACACCCCGTCATTAATTCGAACGTATGCACTTACTCAGATAATTACACATCCTGGCGGACGAGAATTATTAATAATGCCAACGCCTACAAAAAATTATCTTTCACTGTTTGGAAATTTCAAAAATACACCGATGACGATGACATTAATATGAGAAGCTTTCTTTTTATACAAACCCATCTATAAATTCATGCATATACTTTTAAACAAATCGCCTCGCGCGGCTTTTAATTAATTAATATCATAATTTGTGCCTTGGCTATCCCAAACGAATTAATAAATGTTGCGTACACTGCACGTAAATTTAATTTCCTGAATCAAAGGTCAAGTGGCCACAGTCGCAGAATTAGGAAATCTCTTCTATGCTCTGATTATTTAAACATATTTGCTAATATAGTGAATAAATCAAAGTGTCTTTATGTGAGGTGAGCCAAGACCCAGGGGATGAGTTTCATAATTTTTCCGTGGAAATCTTCTTGAACAAGAAAATGCTTCCAAATAATTTATAAGACATTTTGTCATAAATTAGATGTGAGAAAAATATTCTGGATATTATTAAGAGGACCAATATTTTGACATCGATTTTCATATTATTATAATTTTAAGGTTTTTTTTTAAAATACATAATGTTTGGTCCTCACAAAAGTATTCTAATTTTTCTATATATGTAGATAAACAGTTAAGACCGATGAACCAGAAATATTAATATTGCTAATATTTTTTTTTTAATTCCTACCAACATCTGTTGTAAAGCGTTTGTTGACACCTACAAAAATTCCTTTTATAATCAGATTTTAAGAATCCACTTCTGGTTCTATAAAATTTGAAAACCCTGATCTTTCACAATCTTGCACTCCGTTCACCTGATCTTTCCACCTTATCTCGTAGGCACTAATTCTTGTGCTTAACTCTTTATATACATCGCATATAGTATACATTTTTTATTGCGTTTTCCATTCACGAAAAGTGGAAGCGGCAAAAAGAGTAGAAAAAGAGTGCTGGCCGCCGGAAGATTAAGCAACAATTTAACATTTGGCTGGCTGGCAACGACGACCCCAATTTCCATTTCCATTTCCATTTTCAAATTTGGCAGCCGCCAAGGTGAATGGGGCCGAATCTCTGCTGTTCAGAGTGCTAGAGGATATATGTAGATATGTAGGACCCGCCGTTCTCGATCTCGATCTCGATCTCGATTGTGTTTGTGTTTCTTGGTTCTTGCTGGTGGGAGCTGACTGCTTGGCTAATTTACAGCCCGAGTGATTGTCTACAATAATTTTTGAGAAATTATTCTCAAAACAATTCATGCACTTTGCCTTAGACAACATTAAATTTATATTTCCGCACTTTTAATGCGTTGGCGTTTCATTTTCATATTTTGCTACCGAAAAAGTGCAAAAATTTTGAACGCGTACGTAAATAATCTTGAGTGACAGGCGTTCATAAAATTAATGTGTGTGTGTAATAATAATAAAAGAAAATAACAAACTGAAAGACAGAGCAAATATTCTCAGAAAACGTTGCATGGTATTTTTCGTAAATATCAAAACGTTTTACTACGACAATGTTTACCATGATAATGCAATATGCATATCTATTTACGTATATTTCATTTTTTCTTGAGGCGTAGTTAAATATATTTACGTAAATTCATGTTTATCAGGGTCTGCCATTTCCATTAGAGCGTGAGGCGTGTCAATTGCATTAGAGGGTAGACTTTTGTTACGTGGGTAAGATGTTTCTGTTTGGTCGTAAGACAACTGGCAATCGACTGCGAAATTAAACGAGATGATGATACCAAGCTCACAAATTGGAGGGGCTGAAAATGCTTTAATAATAACGAAACTCGCCAGAATTCTAGGAAAAGCCAAACGAGTTTGCTGATAATTGTTAATCATTTTCCGCTTGTTTTTAATTTACTTCGATTTTTCTGTTTCATAACGCGATGAACCATTTTTAATTTATAGTACCGAATCATTGTTCAACGTGTTTTCGACTATAATTATTTAAATTTCAAAGTCTATAGAGTTTTTTAAAAGGCTGCAATTGTTGTTAATTTACGATTAAAACAAAATTTTCTGTGGTTCTCTAAAGTATCTTCTTTGTTAAAAATCTTTAAAAGGTTTTCATTTTTGGATGGTATATTGTGGAAGTGTATATTCTTTAATACTTTTTAATGAAATGCAAGTCTGTCAGTAAGTCTACACATAAAGCTGATGCAAGACTAGGAAATGGCTTTCATATTTTCGGATATTAAAAATATGCCTTTTCATTGAAATTCACAAATTGTTCTTCTATTTTGCACGCCTGACTAATCCATTGTCATCTTCTTGGCCTTCGAACAGCCAAAGCTGTTGCTAATGATGCGCATCAATCCCTGCCCTCCAGTTCACAATTTGGCTGGCTTTTTGTGCCATCCTCGGCTCAATTGAATGCTCTTCTATGGCCTGGATGGCCTAGATTGCCCCAGCACCCGCTTAAACAATAAAAGCCACTCAGGCCAGCTAAGAACATACGTATAGATGGGTGTATTGATTTTATGGCCGCATGCATCCATTCTCGATTTTGCATTTCGGGTGGACCGACCTCAATACCCCTTTATCGTCTTTATAATTTCTTGAGTTAAATGCATCTGTGCATTAAGGCGGACCCCAAGAAATTGCCTTTTGTGTCTGGCGACTCTGGGGGCTTTCCTTTTGTTGGCAAGAGCGGGGCATCAAATTGAATCAAGACTGCAGTCATTGTTATTAATAATATTAGTATATGATATTAACTGGACCGCAGCCTCCTTTGTGTCGGCGTTGACAACCCTTTGGCATGCGAACTCAATTTTCCCAGGCCGACAGTCTATAGTGCCTTTTGTCCGGACGCCTGTTCGTCTGTTCGTTGATAAAACGCGGTACAGACACTTGTTGCTCATTGAATGCTGGGGAGTATATGCATACAATCTGACCGGCGGCCATTTCATTTCACTTTCAATTTACAAACACTACAATGGCTCGGACGGGCCTAAATACAAAGCCATCAGCCATCAGACATCAGCCATCAGCACTATCCTCGGATGGTTAATTAAACGACCATGGTCTGGCAATGGGAGCGGATTGTGGATTGGATTGGATTGGATTGTGGGATTCGGCGTATAAATACACCCCAAGGCAATTTGAAAGAACAATGGTGGCGGCATTCAGCTAAGAGCACTGGGTTTTTAATGGGTATGCAAAGTGAATAGAAACCGAAGAATGCTGGATTATAGTAGCCATTAATATTAAAGTAGTTGAGCTTCCTTAAATGTTTTGGGGTCATAGCTGAGGCAATGGTTTATATAGTTGGGTCGTAAGAAGGATTCATAACTTGATTGTTAATAATACCGATACTCAAATAATTCAATTTAAAATATGTCAATACTTAAAATTTTAATAATCAACATAGAAAAATTTACCAAGAAAAATTTGATCATTAAAATGCAATAAAATATTTAATTTCATTTAAAACATTAACCCCTAAGTCCTGGAACTCTAAACCTTCTTAATAAAATCAACAAACTTATAAAAATGTAATTGATATATCCTTTTTTTCTTTTGTAAACATAAAAGAAAATTAATAAAAACCAAATTATTTGGCAAATAAAACCCTAGTTAATGGGAAAGTATTACAGTCAAAGTGAAAGTAAATATTTTTTTAATTTCAAATTGTATTTAAGTAAATATTGAACGCCCAATGCTTAAAAAAAGTTTACAAAAGCTTGTTAAAATAGTTATTGCAAAGGTTATTCCTACCGTTGTCAGTTTGTATTCATGGCTATAGAAATATTCCTCGAAACCCTTTTAATCAATCATGCTGGCTATTTGCTTTGTTATCCAAATATAACCAGACAATTCATTTCCCTTCCATTCAATTGCAGGGAAATCGACAGGAGATAAAGGGGCGAAAGGAAGTCCGGCGAGGATACACGGGGAACCGCTGGCGAGGATTGCTAGAGAGATGTCCACGGCGACTTGTGCCCGCTTCTGCACGCCTTTGACATCCGGCACGGCAGGATCCACATCAAAATTGACAACCGGAAACGGAAGCGGCAACATGACGTCATCGTACAAGAAGAAAATTCCATCAAACAGCAGCGGCAGCACACAACAAACAACAGCGAATGACAGCAGCAACACAGAGACCACATTCACATTCAAATTGGGCCGCTCGAACGGAAGGAGCAGCAGCAACGTGGCCTCCAGTGAGTCATCCGATCCGCTGGAGTCCGACTACAGCGAGGAGGACGCGGAGCAGGAGCAGCAGCTGCCGGATCCGGCGACCAACAGCCGGAGCAGCAGCACCACCACCACCACCAGCAGCTCCGCTGACCACGACAATGACGTCGACGTCGACCAGGAGGATGAGGAGGACGACGACGACGACGAGGAGGAGAGCAACGGACGGGACGCGGACGAGGCTACCCACGATTCCAGCGAGAGCATCGAGGAGGACGACGGCAATGAGACGGACGACGAGGAGGACGACGACGAGTCCGAGGAGAGCAGCGTTCAGACCGCGAAGGGAGTGCGCAAATACCACTTGGACGACTACCAGATAATCAAAACAGTGGGTAAGTCGTCTGCTGTTTACACTAGACCCACGGGGCGTATGATTGATGTTAAGGTCTCACGCCTTTCAACCTTCAACTTGTCGCGAGGCTAAAGTTGTTGTGTAGCAGTGTGTAGTACGTCTCGGATCCGATCAATTTTCCCCTGTTTGTTGACTTTCCCGGGGAAACTATTTAGACGGATGCCATCAAAACAGCAGCGCTTCTAGGTCAGTTCAGAAGTCAAGGTTTGATGAGGTCACTGTTGTTTTTTTCCCAAAATGCTCACTCCTTGTTTTATAAAAAGATAAAGATTGGTTTTGTTTTTGGAAACTGTTTTGCCCTTATAATGATTTTAGATTCAATTTAAACTGATGAGTTTGAAGGATTTTAACATTATTTTACTGCAAATTATGTTAACAAAAATCCTTAGCCAAAAGGCAAACCAAAAATTTCTGACAAAATTCTTGGGAAACACTTTTATTTCTGTAAAAAAAAAAATCATAAGTGGAACACCCCCGCAAACATTTGAAATCTTTCTTAACTTTAATTATTCCATTTAATTAAAAGAGTTTTTTCACCTGTTCAATCATTTCGTTTTCATCTGGAACGTGAAGAAATGTATTCAAATACCATTGTCTTACTTTTTTCTCAGCTTTTTGTTTGCTATTCTTTGATTTCGCTCATCGATTTAATTTCAAATATTTATTACCTCATTTTTTGGGCCCCTTGGTATGTGTGAGCTCCTTGCAGCTTCAAATCTCTATTGCTTTTTATTGGTTTTATGCATAAATAAATTGTTATTGATTACGCAAATTGAATGAGGCAGGGGAAGAAAAGGCAAGGGGAGCTCATATTATGATTATTATGAGCTTTTCGCACCGCAGCGGGTCGGGCAATCGTTTTCATTGCTCAGCAGCGATCTGGCTTGCGTAAAATTTCATTTAGACAATATTTAAAGTGTAGTCCGTTTACGTACGGACATGTATTCTTGGACTCTGCTTAGGATCATCAATGGATCTTACGTACTCGCATGGACGCTCGGCCAATTAATGCCCATAATATTTTGATGTGTTTTCCCATTTTGACGTCTTCGGTGTGAGCGAAGCAGCCGATTTTAGTATTCGACTAAATTTAGTATACAATTCAAACACTCATTAAGCCTTGCGGCATAAATATTTACTTGAGGTTGAGGCAAGTTCTGTGCATTTTCCTGATTTATTACCACAACATTTGCTTTACTACACGTGTGATCGGTTTGCTTTTTCTTTTTGCCATCAAAACCATTTAAAATCATTTGTGCACCGATCGTTTCAGTTCCAAACTGCTAGAGCCAACTCAAACAATCGCGGAAATATTGTGGGTGTAAATAATGGTTTTTTATTCGTCTACAATCATCTTCGGAATTGTTTTTTCCAACAGACTAATTACAGCTATATGTTTTAAAACCCCTAGTGGGAGTTAATTATTTTTTACCTACCCACTAAAAATTGCTTCTTGGAACACCTTAGTTTACTTAGGCAAAGAATAATTTTTTCTGCAATGCAATCTATTTTAAAAATATTATATAACTCGAAAAGATTGTTATAAATGGGTTCTTTAATTTCTTTTTTTTGATTTACTACTACCAAGTAAAATAATTGAAGAGGCCATTTTCTATCCTCATTTATTTTAGGAGACCCTTTTGTTATAAACAAGATTTTTTAAAACAATTTTTTGAACCTAAAAAAATACCTAAGCAACTTTATTACTTAAAGACTTAATTAAGCAATTTCTTTTGCTAAAATTTGCTAGACAATATAGTTAAACAAAATAAAGTCTAAGTGATTTATGTTGCCATACTCAACATACAAAACATATATATTGTAACGTACACACTTAGGCGTACGATACAATTTTTGAATAATAATATGTTAAGTTATAGGTATAAGCGTCAGACCGTGAATATTAAATATTAAGTTAGTAGTATGTAAGTTATAGGTGTAAGTGATCCATAATGAATAATAAATTTTAAGTTGAAACTGAATATTAAGCTAAGTTCCGAACCCGAGTGGCAACGCCAGCAGATTTTAGTGGGTAAGGAAAAATACTAGAAATTAAGGAATATGCTAGAAATCCCGAAAGTGGGAAAAAGGGAGCGTGGGGTAGGTGGTCTCACACCGATCGAGCAGGCGGTCTCTCGTGCCGGAAAAGTAGAACGGAGCGGACGCGCCTCCCTTAGCTCGCTTGACGGATAATTCGAGTAACGCCTCGACCGCGCGAAGGCACGCGGTTAACGAAGAAGTGGACTAGTGAATGTGTTTGAGGTTAGTGTATGCAAAATTCCTATCCGTCAGGCAAAGACGGTGTAGCGGACTCATAGGAAGACAGTAGATAAATGGAAAGATAATAATAATAATAATAAAAATATAATAATAAAACAAAGTAAATTCCATGATCGTGATTCTTTTTATTTATAGTAGCCTAGCTCCCTTCCTCGTAGTGCATGTGACCTGTACGTGGACATCCGTCCCGTCCGGTCTGGTATTCTAACCTCCCTCCCCGTAGTATTTGGGACCTGTACGTGGACACCCGGCCCGTCTGGTCCAGTATCTTGGTTCCCCACATCGTAGCATTTGAGACCCGACGTGGACACCCATCCCGTTCGGTCTAGTATCTTAGATTCCCCCCTCCCTCGTAGTGCATGGGGCCTGTACGTGGACATCCGTCCCGTCCGGTCCAGTATCTTAACCTCACTCCCCGTAGTATTTGGGACCTGTACGTGGACACCCGGCCCGTCTGGTCCAGTATCTTGGTTCCCCATATCATAGCATTTGAGACCCGACGTGGACACCCATCCCGTTCGGTCTAGTACCTTAGATCCCCCCTCCTCGTAGTGCATGTGACCTGTACGTGGACACCCGGCCCGTCTGGTCTAGTACCCTAGTTTTCCTCCTCGTAGCGCATGCGACCGGCACGTGGACACCCGGCCCGTCTGGTCTAGTACAATAGCTTTCCTCTTCATAGTGCATGTGACCTGCGCGCGGACATCATTCCCGACTGGTCAATCGTACCGCCATCCTTTCTCCTCCAATCCCCCCTCGTGTCCGACAAATCCTATCCGGCTTGGCCTCGCCCGAAGGTCCAGCCCGGTGGATTTTTGGCACCCGATACATCGAGAACGACTTGCGCGCGACGCAACCCCACCCGGCATCCCCATACTCGCGAAACCGTTCGTCTGGCTTGGCCTCGCCCCAAGGTCCAGCCCGGTGAATTTTTGGCCTGCGACACGCGGAAAGCGACTTACGTGTCCCAATCGCGGAAGTGATCAGCGGGACTACCCGGCATCCCCATACTCGCGAAACCGTTCGTCTGGCTTGGCCTCGCCCCAAGGTCCAGCCCGGTGAATTTTCGGCCTGCGACACGCGGAAAGCGACTTACGTGTCCCAATCGCGGAAGTGATCAGCGGGACTACCCGGCATCCCCATACTCGCGAAACTGTTCGTCTGGCTTGGCCTCGCCCCAAGGTCCAGCCCGGTGAATTTTTGGCCTGCGACACGCGGAAAGCGACTTACGTGTCCCAATCGCAGAAGTGATCAGCGGGACCACCCGGCGTCCCCATACGCGCGAAAACTGTTCGCCTGGCTTGGCCTCGCCCTAAGGTCCAGCCCGTGGAATTTTTAACCCAGGAGCAAGGTACGGCGTGACCAACTCCGACACCAACTCTCTCTCTCCTGGCGTCTATGAGAACCTTCGGTGTGACTCCCCAAACGACTCATTCACTCGATGAATGATACTCTCTAGTCCGGTGTTTCGGTGATTTACAAATTTCTTGTAGAGGACTCCTGGATCTGACTGAGATCTGTACCCCGGCCAGAGAGCATCCTTACAAGTGGCGCCCGAGCAGGGACACCGAGACTAGTTAGAGAATCACCCAAGTGGCTTAAAGACCCACTGAAGAAAAGAAGGGTAGAGTCACCCGAACCGATCTCCGGAAGGATCTAGAAGACTTGAGAAGGAAGTTCACACCAAACTAAATCGAAGAGGATAACCAATGATGAGTAACCCTAAGGAATCTGACGGTGAGTACGAAGAAGCCGATTTTGTTAAGAATCCAGGTATAGGAGTCCGCTGGATATACGCTCGCCGAAAAGACGAACTCAGCGCTCTCGCCCTGGAGTTTGGTTTTAAAGCCGACGGAACCGTCGAGGAGACCAGGAAGGCATTCGCCAACCTCGTCAACACAGGGTCGTTCCCACAAAGGGTGTGGGACCGACTGGCACAGTTGCAGGAGCAATATAGTAGCCGGGCCCCAAGTCCGAACCCTCCAGGCAGGAACGGTGAGACGGGACAGTTCGCAGAATCCCTCACCATTCCCATGACGTCCGGAGCCACATCGATCGGGACTCCAGCCCGCCATCGAGGGATCCACCCAGGATCGATGCACGGGACCTGGATGCCACCGGTAGATGTCCGCTTACCCGCCGACCTACAAGCACAAGACACACGGAGCAGCACGGCTCCAACTCAACATCTGCTCCCCGAGAAGATGCACAAATGGAATTTACGGTTCGATGGGAGTTCAGATCCGTTGACTCTCATCGCCGCGCTCGAGGAAAAGATGACGACTTACAGGATAAATCCAGAGGAGGTGCCCCGCGTTATGTCCGAGATCTTGGAGGGCCCAGCGGCACGATGGTTTCGCACGAGCCACCTACAGTCGGCCTCATGGGGAACTTTCAGGAGGGAATTCCTCGACTTCTTCCTACCACCTCGATATTTCGAGCGGTTGGAAGATGAGATACGGACCCACGTGCAGCGGAGAGGAGAGCCTTTCAAGACCTACTTGATCGAGCTCAGAACCAAGATGCAGCAAGCCGGTTATCGAGAAGAGGAAGAATTGTACCGAGCATATGAAAACATGGCTCCGGAATACCGACTGTATATTAAACGCAGTGAATTCGCGACTTTGACACAATTGACTCATATGGCCACAGAATATGAGAGTGTCAAACAACTCGAGACGACTCGACGCGAGCCAAAAGTAACCACGGACCGGAACCAAGAAGAACCTCAACTTCGCCGATCGCCGAACCCATTCCGGAATCCGGTGAATTCAACGCAGACAGGACACGTGACCCATCAGATGATCGGTCAAGGAACCTCTCGAGTAGACATAAGGCGGGCTTGTAATCGCTGTGGAGAGAACGGACACCTCCAAAGGAACTGCCCCAACCCACGTCGGGATTTCTGTTGGGACTGTGGGCGACCAGGAGTTTTAACGATAGAATGTTGCCGTCGAAATGCGTCGGGAAACGGAGAACGTCTCCGCCGGAACCCGGGTGCGGCGGAGACGAACGGAGCAGCAACCCGACCCCAGTAAAACCCCCGTTGAGATTACACGGCGGGCTCATCACAGCAGCGATAGAAGTCGGAGGACAACGTGTGGACGCCACCATTGATACAGGGGCATCGAGGAGTTTCGTCAGTGAAAGTTTTACTCGACTGGCCGCGCGTGCAGACGAGTTACAGGATGTTGTCACTAGAATAGCGTTGGCCGATCGGTCATGTCTGGATGTGACAAAGCTCTGGCGAACCTCGGTTACGTTAGCCGGCACTACGGTGCTCTTACCCATGTTAGTAATGCCCACCATGTTAGATCGTGTAATACTTGGAATGGACTTCCTCAAAGTAGCGGGAACTCAGGTGCGATGTGGTCGAGCTACGCTCGACTTGCAAAACGAAGCCCAAGCGGCTGGAGACCCTTTCTTACAGCCAGTACTTATAAAGGCGCGGGGCAACCAGGAGAAAACGGTACACCCTGTTGCGGTTGGTGCCCATTTGGGAACTGCCAGGCCAGAAGAAGCAGAGATACCCAGTCCTATTCCCACGCGAACTATAACCCCGAACATCAATGCCGGTGCGCCCACTAGGACGGAGACGGTAGAAGACGAAGAACAGCGACAGAGCACATTATTGAGTCCGGCGCAACAAAGCTTCATCGATCGGGAACTGGCCTTATTCGAGAAACTGCACGGGGTGTCTCACGTCGCCGAACACACCATCGTCATGCGCGACGACAAGCCCGTAAAACAAAGATATTATCCCCGGAACCCCGCGATGCAACATGTCATCGATGCCCAAGTAGACGAACTGCTCCGTGACGGGGCCATCGAACCCTCCAGAAGCCCACACAGCGCTCCCATCGTATTGGTCAAGAAGAAAACTGGCGATTGGCGCATGTGTATAGATTACCGTCAGTTAAACGCACACTCAGTGCCCGACGCCTACCCAGTCCCGAGAATCAATCACATTTTGGAAAAATTACGCCACGCCCGATATATCTCCACGTTGGACTTGAAGCACGGCTATTGGCAAATTCCCATGGCTAGGGATAGTCGCCAATATACAGCGTTCACGGTCCCTGGGAGAGGATTGTATCAATGGAAGGTCATGCCCTTCGGGTTGCATTCTGCCAGCGCCACGTTTCAACGCGCTCTGGATAGTGTAATCGGCGTGGAAATGGAACCGGTCGCCTTCGCTTACCTAGATGATATTATTATCATAAGCGCGACAGAAGACCAGCACTTTACTCACCTCTCGGAAGTTTTCCGCAGATTGCGGGCCGCGAATTTAAGGATAAATCCAAAGAAGTGTTGCTTCTTCAAGCAGAAACTCGTCTACCTCGGCCACGTCATCAGCAGTGACGGAATTCAGACTGATCCCGAGAAGGTGTCTGCGATCAACGGGTTGAAGGCCCCCTCCAACTTAAAGGAACTCCGCCAATGGATCGGGATGGCCTCGTGGTATCGGCGATTTGTCCCTAGCTTCGCGACTATCGTGCAACCGATGACCGCGCTACTAAAGAAAGGACGGAAATGGACTTGGGGACCAGAACAGCAAGCCGCCTTGGAAGAAATTAAAAGATGCCTGACTACTGCTCCCGTATTAGGCTGTCCGGATTTCGACCAGAAGTTCATTTTGCAAACAGACGCGAGTGACGTCGGCTTGGGCGTAGTTTTATCACAGGGCTCCGAAAGTCAAGAGAAGGTCATCGCATACGCTAGCCGCCGATTAACCCCAGCGGAACAAAATTACACTACCACGGAGAAAGAGTGTCTGGCCATAATCTGGGCAATCAGGAAGATGCGGTGCTACCTGGAAGGGTACCGATTCGAGGTCGTTACTGACCATCTAGCCCTCAAGTGGCTAAATTCTATTGAGAGCCCTTCTGGCCGAATAGCGCGTTGGGCGCTAGAATTGCAGCAATTCCAATTCGACGTACGCTATCGACGAGGTAAATTGAACGTCGTGGCCGACGCACTTTCGCGACAGCCTTGTGAGATACTGCAGGGTGCTGTCGAACTCGAGGACCACTGCGACTGGATCAAAAAGATGAAGGAGCAAATACAGGAGGAACCCGAGAAATTCGCTGACTACATGATCGAAAACGACCAGCTCTACAGGAACATGGGCTACCGAGCTGACGATGAGGACTACTTCCCGTGGAAGCTTTGCGTGCCAACCTCCCGTAGAAACCGCGTCTTACGTGAATGTCACGATTCCCCGACCGCAGGACACTTGGGAGTCCGAAAAACAATTACGCGTCTGACCCAGAGGTATTTCTGGCCCGGTATGTATCGCGACGCGAAACGCCATGTTCGCCATTGTGAATCTTGTCAAAAGTTTAAGACGGAACAAACTAAAGCGGCAGGTAAGATGCTAACCCGGGTCGTCAGCGAACCTTTCGACATTCTCTGCGCGGATTTTGTAGGCCCGCTACCCCGGTCAAAACAAGGAAATACCATGCTTCTGGTGTTTCACGATGTATTTTCGAAATGGGTAGAACTGATACCACTCCGGAAAGCTACCACAGCTCAAGTGCAGAAAGCGTTTCGGGAACGTATACTTGCGCGAGTGGGCATTCCCCGGAAGTTCGTGTGCGACAATGGAACCCAGTTCACAAGCCGGGTCCTGAAAGACTACTTCACCCAGCTAGGCGTAGAAGTCCAGTACACGGCTCCATATTGTCCACAAGAGAATCCCACAGAAAGGACCAACCGCACTGTGAAGACGCTGATATCCCAGCTGTCGGAAGGCGACCAGAGTTCGTGGGATAATATGCTGCCAGAGATATCCCTCGCGATCAATAGCAGTGTATCGGATTCGACGGGGTATAGTCCCGCGTTCCTAACTCAAGGACGGGAACCACGCTTGCCTGCGATGCTGTATGATGAACTGACCCCCGGATCGGCGGTCGTGCATACAGGTCCTGAAGACAAGGCATCTCACCTCAAAGGCATCTTCGACATCGTACGAGCGAATCTTCAGCGAGCGTCTCAAGACCAGGCGAGACACTATAACCTACGAAGGCGAGAATGGAGACCCACGCTCGGCGGTCAAGTTTGGCTGCGTCAGCATCCCTTATCGAAAGCAGCCGAGGGATTCGCCGCCAAACTTGCTCCCAAGTATGACGGTCCTTATACCGTTACAAAATTCACATCTCCGAACTTGGTACGCCTGCAACGTCCCGGAGATCGTCGGCGACGCATCGCCAACATATCCCAGCTCAAACCGTACTACGCAGAAGCCCCTCCGGATAGGATCGACGATAGTATTGTCGGATCGAACGACCCGATGCAGTAAGCGGCATACAGCCGCAGAATAGTATAACAACTAGTCTAGTAAACATTGTATAACCACTGTATAACCTCTGTATAACCCCCGAATAACCATTGTGTAACCAGTAGAGTAACTATTGTATAACCATTATAATAGATTAAGGCCGAGTCCTTTGTTAGCTACACCGTCAGGTAGGGAGTTCGAAGAGGTGGGGCAATATCAATAAGTTAAGTTTACCATTTCAGATGGATGAAGTAATTGTGTTGTCGGACGACTCCAACGACACGGAGGTCTTCCACATGGAGACGAGTCATCATGACGGAGGCGACGAAGCGATGGAAAGGGAGTTCCTCACGTCGGACGGCGAAACAGACGGTAGCTCGGTGGAGACAGACGACTGTTCCCAGGCCCCGGAAGGATCCCGGTTCGCAGGACTCCGCGGAGGCTTGTGGAGCCCCCGACCCGGCGGGTCGCGACAATATCATCATCCGACGTCGCCCCAGTCTGCTCCCTACCGTCTGGAAGACGACGAAGACGACGCCAGTGACCGGGATTCGGAGATGTTCAGCAGGCCCCCACGTTCCAGGGAAAGCTCACCAGGTGGATCCAGCGGTTACCCCAACGGACGACGACCGGGGGAGCCGTACTATACGGAGTCCCGACGGCCCACCTCGGAGGAGGAGTACCCGTGGACCCGACGCGACCCTCGGTCGGGCCATCCGGGTTACCCAAGGCCCAGTCCTCCACGATTCCCGGACGTGGAACATTCGTACCACCATACGTCCGAAGACCAGGTCTGCCGGTATGCGGGACACGTCTCGTTCATGCGCATCGACGTCCGCTCGGTAGTAGTCAAAGTCCCGGGGTTACCTGCAGAGGGACCCTACGTCGACGAACCGCCATCCCCGCCTCTGCCCCCGGCGTTGGAAAACAACAGAGCGATGGATCCCGACGTTGACGTCGAGAAGGCAGTCGGCGAGAGGATAGGACAACCGAGGACCCCGCCCCGACGTACTGTAGTGCCCACCGTGTCGGTGTCTCTAGGGGTTCAGACATCCCCAGTCGTGGAGCGGGTCAAGGAGGCGAAAACGTCTAGCCAGAGTACCCAGACCTCTCCGGCTAACCAAGATCGGGTACAGGAGGTAGAACCCGTACAGGAAGCGGGACTCCCCGAACCCAGGGTCATAACATCAGACTCCCCGGATCCCGTATACCTGGCGGGATTCGAACTGATCTCCGACAGCGAGGACGACGAAGGGGAAAGGCCATTATTCCGCCGGTGCTTCCAGACGTCGCCGCAGCAGGATCCGCGGGACGTGGACACCTCGGCCAGACCTCGGTCAGATTACCCCTATCGAGGCGACGCTGGACAGCGGTGGGACGGGGCCGTAGATCCCCAGCACTTCCCTAGCTGTGCTCATCCAATCGACCAGCTGACCGAGTGGGAAGATCGCTTGTTGGACCAGGTCCTAATGGATATTTCGGAGATTGATTCGACCGAATCCGCCGCTAGGGATACCCCACCGAATGCCACGACGACGGACGGCGTAGAAGCCGTGTCGAACTCCGCACTGGAGTTGACGGAACCCGCAGGAAAGGAGGACGACCTCTGCCCACTGCCGGAGGGCTGGATTGGTGGTAGCGGTTTACGGTACCTACCCAGACGTATCATCCAGGAGATCCAGAGGAAGGTAGCGACCCGGGCCGGCCGCGGACGCCGAGTCCGCATAGCCATAGGAGGCGACGGACTCCGCTTCATCGTCACCATCAAGAGCGACGGGCGCCTCTTTATCGCGCCGCGGGAAGAAAGGGGGGGGTGTAACGTACACACTTAGGCGTACGATACAATTTTTGAATAATAATATGTTAAGTTATAGGTATAAGCGTCAGACCGTGAATATTAAATATTAAGTTAGTAGTATGTAAGTTATAGGTGTAAGTGATCCATAATGAATAATAAATTTTAAGTTGAAACTGAATATTAAGCTAAGTTCCGAACCCGAGTGGCAACGCCAGCAGATTTTAGTGGGTAAGGAAAAATACTAGAAATTAAGGAATATGCTAGAAATCCCGAAAGTGGGAAAAAGGGAGCGTGGGGTAGGTGGTCTCACACCGATCGAGCAGGCGGTCTCTCGTGCCGGAAAAGTAGAACGGAGCGGACGCGCCTCCCTTAGCTCGCTTGACGGATAATTCGAGTAACGCCTCGACCGCGCGAAGGCACGCGGTTAACGAAGAAGTGGACTAGTGAATGTGTTTGAGGTTAGTGTATGCAAAATTCCTATCCGTCAGGCAAAGACGGTGTAGCGGACTCATAGGAAGACAGTAGATAAATGGAAAGATAATAATAATAATAATAAAAATATAATAATAAAACAAAGTAAATTCCATGATCGTGATTCTTTTTATTTATAGTAGCCTAGCTCCCTTCCTCGTAGTGCATGTGACCTGTACGTGGACATCCGTCCCGTCCGGTCTGGTATTCTAACCTCCCTCCCCGTAGTATTTGGGACCTGTACGTGGACACCCGGCCCGTCTGGTCCAGTATCTTGGTTCCCCACATCGTAGCATTTGAGACCCGACGTGGACACCCATCCCGTTCGGTCTAGTATCTTAGATTCCCCCCCTCCCTCGTAGTGCATGGGGCCTGTACGTGGACATCCGTCCCGTCCGGTCCAGTATCTTAACCTCACTCCCCGTAGTATTTGGGACCTGTACGTGGACACCCGGCCCGTCTGGTCCAGTATCTTGGTTCCCCATATCATAGCATTTGAGACCCGACGTGGACACCCATCCCGTTCGGTCTAGTACCTTAGATCCCCCTCCTCGTAGTGCATGTGACCTGTACGTGGACACCCGGCCCGTCTGGTCTAGTACCCTAGTTTTCCTCCTCGTAGCGCATGCGACCGGCACGTGGACACCCGGCCCGTCTGGTCTAGTACAATAGCTTTCCTCTTCATAGTGCATGTGACCTGCGCGCGGACATCATTCCCGACTGGTCAATCGTACCGCCATCCTTTCTCCTCCAATCCCCCCTCGTGTCCGACAAATCCTATCCGGCTTGGCCTCGCCCGAAGGTCCAGCCCGGTGGATTTTTGGCACCCGATACATCGAGAACGACTTGCGCGCGACGCAACCCCACCCGGCATCCCCATACTCGCGAAACCGTTCGTCTGGCTTGGCCTCGCCCCAAGGTCCAGCCCGGTGAATTTTTGGCCTGCGACACGCGGAAAGCGACTTACGTGTCCCAATCGCGGAAGTGATCAGCGGGACTACCCGGCATCCCCATACTCGCGAAACCGTTCGTCTGGCTTGGCCTCGCCCCAAGGTCCAGCCCGGTGAATTTTCGGCCTGCGACACGCGGAAAGCGACTTACGTGTCCCAATCGCGGAAGTGATCAGCGGGACTACCCGGCATCCCCATACTCGCGAAACTGTTCGTCTGGCTTGGCCTCGCCCCAAGGTCCAGCCCGGTGAATTTTTGGCCTGCGACACGCGGAAAGCGACTTACGTGTCCCAATCGCAGAAGTGATCAGCGGGACCACCCGGCGTCCCCATCCTTACAAGTGGCGCCCGAGCAGGGACACCGAGACTAGTTAGAGAATCACCCAAGTGGCTTAAAGACCCACTGAAGAAAAGAAGGGTAGAGTCACCCGAACCGATCTCCGGAAGGATCTAGAAGACTTGAGAAGGAAGTTCACACCAAACTAAATCGAAGAGGATAACCAATGATGAGTAACCCTAAGGAATCTGACGGTGAGTACGAAGAAGCCGATTTTGTTAAGAATCCAGGTATAGGAGTCCGCTGGATATACGCTCGCCGAAAAGACGAACTCAGCGCTCTCGCCCTGGAGTTTGGTTTTAAAGCCGACGGAACCGTCGAGGAGACCAGGAAGGCATTCGCCAACCTCGTCAACACAGGGTCGTTCCCACAAAGGGTGTGGGACCGACTGGCACAGTTGCAGGAGCAATATAGTAGCCGGGCCCCAAGTCCGAACCCTCCAGGCAGGAACGGTGAGACGGGACAGTTCGCAGAATCCCTCACCATTCCCATGACGTCCGGAGCCACATCGATCGGGACTCCAGCCCGCCATCGAGGGATCCACCCAGGATCGATGCACGGGACCTGGATGCCACCGGTAGATGTCCGCTTACCCGCCGACCTACAAGCACAAGACACACGGAGCAGCACGGCTCCAACTCAACATCTGCTCCCCGAGAAGATGCACAAATGGAATTTACGGTTCGATGGGAGTTCAGATCCGTTGACTCTCATCGCCGCGCTCGAGGAAAAGATGACGACTTACAGGATAAATCCAGAGGAGGTACCCCGCGTTATGTCCGAGATCTTGGAGGGCCCAGCGGCACGATGGTTTCGCACGAGCCACCTACAGTCGGCCTCATGGGGAACTTTCAGGAGGGAATTCCTCGACTTCTTCCTACCACCTCGATATTTCGAGCGGTTGGAAGATGAGATACGGACCCACGTGCAGCGGAGAGGAGAGCCTTTCAAGACCTACTTGATCGAGCTCAGAACCAAGATGCAGCAAGCCGGTTATCGAGAAGAGGAAGAATTGTACCGGGCATATGAAAACATGGCTCCAGAATACCGACTGTATATTAAACGCAGTGAATTCGCGACTTTGACACAATTGACTCATATGGCCACAGAATATGAGAGTGTCAAACAACTCGAGACGACTCGACGAGAGCCAAAAACAACCATGGACAGGAAGCAAGAAGAACCTCAACTTCGCCGATCGCCGAACCCATTCCGGAATCCGGTGAATTCAACGCAGACAGGACATGTGACCCATCAGATGATCGGTCAAGGAACCTCTCGACTAGATATAAGGCGGGCTTGTAATCGCTGTGGAGAGAACGGACATCTCCAAAGGAACTGCCCCAATCCACGTCGGGATTTCTGTTGGGACTGTGGGCGACCAGGAGTTTTAACGATAGAATGTTGCCGTCGAAATGTGTCGGGAAACGGAGAACGCCTCCGCCGGAACCCGGGTGCGGCGGAGACGAACGGAGCAGCAACCCGACCCCAGTAAAACCCCCGTTGAGATTACACGGCGGGCTCATCACAGCAGCGATAGAAGTCGGAGGACAACGTGTGGACGCCACCATCGATACAGGGGCATCGAGGAGTTTCGTCAGTGAAAGTTTTTCTCGACTGGCCGCGCGTGCAGACGAGTTACAGGATGTTGTCACTAGAATAGCGTTGGCCGATCGGTCATGTCTGGATGTGACAAAACTCTGGCGAACCTCGGTTACGTTAGCCGGCACTACGGTGCTCTTACCCATGTTAGTAATGCCCACCATGTTAGATCGTGTAATACTTGGAATGGACTTCCTCAAAGTAGCGGGAACTCAGGTGCGATGTGGTCGAGCTACGCTCGACTTGCAAAACGAAGCCCAAGCGGCTGGAGACCCTTTCTTACAGCCAGTACTTATAAAGGCGCGGGGCAACCAGGAGAAAACGGTACACCCTGTTGCGGTTGGTGCCCATTTGGGAACTGCCAGGCCAGAAGAAGCAGAGATACCCAGTCCTATTCCCACGCGAACTATAACCCCGAACATCAATGCCGGTGCGCTCATTAGGATGGGGACGGTAGAAGACGAAGAACAGCGACAGAGCACATTATTGAGTCCGGCGCAGCAAAGCTTCATCGATCGGGAACTGGCCTTATTCGAGAAACTGCACGGGGTGTCTCACGTCGCCGAGCACACCATCGTCATGCGCGACGGCAAGCCCGTAAAACAAAGATATTATCCCCGGAACCCCGCGATGCAACATGTCATCGATGCCCAAGTAGACGAACTGCTCCGTGACGGGGCCATCGAACCCTCCAGAAGCCCACACAGCGCTCCCATCGTATTGGTCAAGAAGAAAACTGGCGATTGGCGCATGTGTATAGATTACCGTCAGTTAAACGCACACTCAGTGCCCGACGCCTACCCAGTCCCGAGAATCAATCACATTCTGGAGAAATTACGCCACGCCCGATATATCTCCACGTTGGACTTGAAGCATGGCTATTGGCAAATTCCCATGGCTAGGGATAGTCGCCAATATACAGCGTTCACGGTCCCTGGGAGAGGATTGTATCAATGGAAGGTCATGCCCTTCGGGTTGCATTCTGCCAGCGCCACGTTTCAACGCGCTCTGGATAGTGTAATCGGCGTGGAAATGGAACCGGTCGCCTTCGCTTACCTAGACGATATTATTATCATAAGCGCGACAGAAGAACAGCACTTTACTCATCTCTCGGAAGTTTTCCGCAGATTGCGGGCTGCGAATTTAAGGATAAATCCAAAGAAGTGTTGCTTCTTCAAGCAGAAACTCGTCTACCTCGGCCACGTCATCAGCAGTGACGGAATTCAGACTGATCCCGAGAAGGTGTCTGCGATCAACGGGTTGAAGGCCCCCTCTAACTTAAAGGAACTCCGCCAATGGATCGGGATGGCCTCGTGGTATCGGCGATTTGTCCCTAGCTTCGCGACTATCGTGCAACCGATGACCGCGCTACTAAAGAAAGGACGGAAATGGACTTGGGGACCAGAACAGCAAGCCGCCTTGGAAGAAATTAAAAGATGCCTGACTACTGCTCCCGTATTAGGCTGTCCGGATTTCGACCAGAAGTTCATTTTGCAAACAGACGCGAGTGACGTCGGCTTGGGCGTAGTTTTATCACAGGGCTCCGAAAGTCAAGAGAAGGTCATCGCATACGCTAGCCGCCGATTAACCCCAGCGGAACAAAATTACACTACCACGGAGAAAGAGTGTCTGGCCATAATCTGGGCAATCAGGAAGATGCGGTGCTACCTGGAAGGGTACCGATTCGAGGTCGTTACTGACCATCTAGCCCTCAAGTGGCTAAATTCTATTGAGAGCCCTTCTGGCCGAATAGCGCGTTGGGCGCTAGAATTGCAGCAATTCCAATTCGACGTACGCTATCGACGAGGTAAATTGAACGTC